ACTCGTAGAAGAAAGGTTAGTAAAATTATTGAAGTGTGGTCTTGGGTGTTTGAAAAGTAAGCGAAAATAAAGCAAACATGATTTCTTGAATTTTCATCATATTCTCAAGAAATATGCTATACAAACACTGGAACAAATGTTTCTTGTAGTATCGTTCATTATTTTTGATAAGACTATCTATATATTAACTTATATCATTACACTAAAGTGTAACAAGCAAACAATCGTTAGAACATGTAAATACAGGCTGAAACTATAAATACTGCTAGTGATTGTAAGTTTTCATTTTATTTGCCAGCCTCTTGTTTTGTTGTCTACTACAAATCTTTATTGAAACAATCAGTCAGCTACAGAGTAGGACCAGACAGATATATGCATCGGTCCAAGTTGCCATATCTCATCAGTACAACAAGATGAACACCAAGTTCATAGAACCAGTTACTTCAGTAGTAGTAAAGAAAGATTCCGTACAAGGATATGATGCAGGAGAAATTAGTTCATAGAAAGTGAGGTATAAAGTAATTTCAATCTCACTGTTTAAGGGCAGACCAGAAGTTAATGACTTTATGGACTGATGCTACGTTTTGGTTTGATCGATCCTAACCTATCTGTCTCCAACACCAGTCAGCATTGCGCGCTGTAATAATAGGTGGTCGGGCATGCGTAATACGTGGCCCAACCATCTAAGTCGGTGAAGATTTACAACCTCATCAATCGATTTACCATCATTCCCTAATACTCTGCGTCTAACCCCACTATTACTTACCCGGTGATCCCAACAGATGCTGGCAATATTCCTAAGACATCTGTGATCAAATGCTAGTAACTTGCAAGTGTCTTCTACTCTTAATGACCACGTTCCACAACCATAAAGTAAAACAAAACGAACTGCTGAGCAGTATACTCGTGCCTTAATTGATAGATGGATATATCGCCTAAGCCATAGATGACGTAAGTTGGCAAAAGCCAGATGAGCTTTTTGAATCTGTGCTGAGATTTATTCAGACACCAACCCATTGGGGCTGATTAGACTTTCAAGATAAACGAAGTTGTCGATGCGTTCGACTACTTTACTCCCTATCCTTAGTTCAGATGTTGACGCAGGCCAGTTCTGACGCAACAACTTGCATTTAGAGGGGGAGGAACGCATCCCAGACATGATAGCACTGTTGCTCAGTACTACCAATAAACTGCATTTTATCGGCGTCTTCATCATCTGCGTATTCTAAGTCGATAAGTGGACCTCCTGGAGGGAGATCAATGCCCGAAAATCCAGACGAAGAGAGCGTTATTCCCAGCAGTAGGTCTATGAAGTTGAACAAAAATGGAAATAGGGGACAGTCTTGCCGGACACCACTTGGGGTTGCAAAATCAGATGACAGTTCGCCGCAAGCTCCGACTATACTGGTACTGTTCAAGTAAAGAGCCTTCACGAGGTTTATGTACTTCTGAGGTACACCTTTCAATGACAGACACTGCCACAGAACCTCTCGGTCTACAGAGTCAAATGCTGCTTTTAAGTTGAGAAACACTATCGTTGTCGGACGCCAATAAGCATGCTTGTGTTCTAGAACCCGACGAAGGGTGAAGATGTGGTCGATGCAGCCACGATCAGGTTTGAAGGCGGCCTGATTTCCTCGTGTTTGCAGTTCACGCGTCTTTGTTAGGCGTCCGATAATCATTGAGGCTAGTATCTCAGACACTATATTACTTAAACTAGCCCTCTATAATTATCACAGGATGATTTTGACTCCTTCTGTGTTGCGACCACTCAGATGGGATTATGTCTAACTCCCAGATTTTCGCTGAATTATTAGTCAACCTAATCGCTTAAGCTAAACCACGGTTCTTAAAAACGTTTTGGTTCAATCCATCTAGACTGTCTGCTCTTCCTTGTTTTAGTTTAGCTGTAGCTTTCTGAACCTCAATTATAGTATGTAGGTCTATTCCAGTGTATCTCATCGGGTCCCAGTTTTAGCTTGGTGAGGTCAAGTGATTGACCGTTCTCTGATCCTGTATGCATGTTTCGGATTGACATCATACACCAATCGTACGAGATTCTTGTGTCTTTGCCAAAGAGGCCTGATGACCAACTTGACATAGAGTACGTTCTTTGAAAACTCCATTATGTAGTGTGGAACCGAGTTTCAGTTGACCTGGTAGTTTCTCGTGTACTACAATCGTTAGACATAGTGACACATTAGGAGGGAGTTTAGAGTCGGGATAGGGAGGAGTAATAGGAATTGATGAGGGAAACTGATTATGAATATAATGATCCAGAGTGCTTTTAGAGAGATGTATTTCCATAGGGTATGGTGAGGTGTGTATTTTTAGGGTCGACCTTTTCTAACCGCATCCCTCCTTGTGGGAGGGAAGCATCGATGTTATGCTAATTTATTGAAAGGAACACCTTACTGCCGTCACACCTCTGTACAGTCAGCTGTAGAACTTCGCCCTCGGATCTTGGGTTTGCTGCTTTTAGTCTTAGTGCTTTTCAACTAGCTTTTCTGGCATGATAGGACTTTACGGAACAATTGTTCCATTTAGTATAGCTCGATTGGTTCATCACAATAGGCAAACCCGACCACCACGTCAGTGTAGCAGCGACGGTCGGATTATTAGAGCAATAATTTTTTACCTTTTCGGGGACATTTTGTCATTTACTATTAGTCTTCACTGATGCACACCAAAAACAATCTATACAATCGTTAACATCTCACCTCAATTTATACCTTTATTATGCTAAAAAATATCTATTTCCTTTTAGGGTTTGAATGAAGATGTAAGTATCAACAAATTCTTCGATGATCCTATGTTGCTAGAACTAGCCAAACAAGACGTAATGCTAAATTATGCACTATAAATTTGTACATTTACTGTATTTCATAAGAAAATAAATAGTCGAACATTATAACCGACTACATATTACCGCATGACTTCTATTCATTTGTTTTTTGAATTTTTTTTAATGGCGAATGCACTTGCTCTGTCTCAAAAATTTATTACATTTAGCTGTAACTTAATTACTTGTTACTAAGTCGTACATAAGTAAATATCAACGGCTGACTTTTTAATCGCTTGTTAAAAAAATCCGTAGTTTACCTGTCAGAGGTAAGTAACAAATTCGCAATGTATCTAGCTCGACCATGCAGATGGAATATGAAATTATACAGTTTAAGGTTAAATAAAGTGATATCTCCATACAAAACATGTAGATGCAGAGAGTTACTAGTTCGAGTTTGATGTACATATACATCGTTTCTCGAATTGATAAATTTCTAATAAATCAGTTATAGTAACTCTGTACGATACTTATTGTCGTGTAGTTTTATTAAACGTACATTCCGACTGACGCTACCATAAGTGTAAATTGGTCATATATCACAGCCCTGAAAAAATGCACTAGAATGAAGAGAATTCAATTTTTGTTAAACGGGAATGATGGAGGCCGGTAGTATAAGCATGATAATGGAAAAATTTAGTGTTTTCGGTTATGTTGCATCTACTCCTTGAGTTACAGTGAAGGTCTTGATAAAAAAAGCCGATCTTTACACTGCAAATCAGTTAAAAATACTGGAAAATAGGTATCGATGCTAGTTTTAGGAGATTCGAGGAAAGTCCCAATAGTCGTAGTGATTTGAGTAACTAACAAATCAGGTTCGTAAAAGGTGTGTCATGATTGACTAGAAGTATTACGACTGCCAGCTCTTGATTTAGACATCTAACCCACCTCATGTTGATACGAACATATACTAGTAATGCTGTTTTGTAAAAAATACATGAACTTATTCTAACTTTTGGAAAGACAAATTAATCTGATCGTCATAAGCTATTGTATACACATGTTTGGCTGTCGACTATTCAGTTTTAACCTTGATCAGTTCTCAAACGTGCATATATTTGTTCATCACTCTACTTATTATCTGCCTTAAGCTTATTTTTCTATCTGACTATAAATGCTGAACCGTGCTTGCTAAAATTAAGTAGGCAAAGGTGCTTCCCTCCATGCTGAAAAAATCCTGCCAACATACTTCCTATCTGGCTTTTATAACCAACGTTCCACAATCGTGGTTAGTACCAAGTACTACATACAAAACTAAATAGGAGGTTCATGTTTTACAGAGTTAACACGATGCTATGATATACATTCAAGCACTGACACGATCAGCTCATCTGTAAAGTTTCACTTGGTAAGATCCTAAAGTAGATGATCACTACGCGAGATAAACAGTAGTATATCTCTTTAGCAGAAACCTCGACTAATGAATTCCAAACTAAGTTGCAAAATGTCTAAATGTAAAGTCTAATCTTTGCCGACGTAGCAGTTTTTCCTGATGTAAGGGTCGGTTTTTCGGATACGAGTAAAAGAGGTTTGCCGGTTAAATCAACTGGAACAGTGATAACTTGCTAACTCATTTGCTACGAACTTTCAACAGTTGAGGTGCAGCTAAGCGCACCTTGAATACAATAATGATAATGACATCAAGCAATGAACTATGGACACAATTTGAGGTGTAAAACAATGTGTATGACTATTGAATGAATTTTTTGGCTATCCATCATGAATTATTACCGGTAAATACGGCAACATATTCGTAACTAAAATATTTTTGATGAATTTTCCTTTTAAGTCGCTTTACAATATTCGTTATATTCCCACTACCTATCTTGCGTGGTTGGATTTTTGTAATTTACTGTTCCAATTGAAGAAATATAGGTCATTTTAAATAAATATGTAGGAGTGAGTCTTACGGTAAATTGTCACCCAGGATACACTAAATAAAATAGAAATACATATATAATATGGATGGTTTTGCACGAATTAAAAAAGTCAATAAACAATATAATTGTAGTAGAAAAAAGAAATAACGATGGGGTGCTCCCCTTGTGTTTGTTTATATACGAACAACAGGGTGATTGCCGTATGTGACGTGATTTTTTGACTTGAGATAGTAAACAATGGCAGTGGGATAAATTGTGCTATTAATTACAAATGTTACTTATGCATTGACCTTCAGAACATCTCTTTCTGAGTATAGTGATTCAACGATAGATTGAAAGTGTCGACGGGCATTTTGACGTGATATTTTCATGGTTGGAGTTAACAATCCATTTTCAACAGTAAATGGATTATCATTTAGGTAGATAGATTGTACCTGAAAAAATTTAAAACTATCAACTTGGATCGGATATATGAGTTAAAAATGTCTTTTATTAATTACAGCAAAAAAAGCGTCATCTTTACTCCAACATGACTCAATTTGTCAACATGTAGAAGACACCTCATTTATGAAAATTTCACCCTAACCCGAATGTCAGAACATCCACGAATGTATTATATTTACCCGATTTAGAAATATTAATTCATAGGTAGATAAAGCATGCGTCGTCTTTCAGACTATAAAATTGTTTCCCAACTACATTCACAAGTCTATGACTAATACTGTCACCCTGAAGTTCACAACAGTTAATTTAGAAGGGCTTTTTTGTAGATAACCACGATCAATTCTCACTAACTTTTCCCCCATTTATATTCGCCTGTAGATTTATTGTATAAGATGGTGGGGAAGTTTTCCACATTCTGTCAACAATAATTTATTGTCAGAGAAGGGTTTTTGTGGATATTATAGTAATTTTAATGGTTGAGATCATGAGTCAATTGAAGCTAGATCACTATGGAAAACCTGGAAGCGCTGGACGGCCGTTTCGTTCTGTTGTGGCACTTTTATTTAGAAATGTTAAGTCGTAATGTTGAAATTTTCCCAAAAATTTAGTTTGTGCATCGAAACGCAGTATACTGGATCGACATTATCAGGGTAGCAGCTTTTGTTCCAATCAAAATAAAAAACCACATATCTTACATAACCGACTTTTAGTAAACGGTCTAAGCTACAATTAACAAAACATAATCTACATTGAAAAGTTTAGGTATGTAAACACGAGAATCAGAAGCTAAATAAAATGTAAGCAAGTCTTTTCAGTGATAAGGTGGAAATTACCAGATAACTTCAACACTTACCATTTCAAATATCTTTAATCCCTTTTCTGTTGCGACTTCATTCATTTTTCGCAAAACAAATCGTCGAATTTCTATGTTTTTGCAAATATCGGTGTCAGATAATCGAGAAATATCTGATGGTTTCAGATCGAATATTTTCCCATCATCTACATTACAACCAGATTTTAGGTAAGAATTAATACATGAACGTAAGTTTACGAAATTCGGAGTGACAACAGCGACAGGGAAATTTTGTTCCGGTTTCCCATCAACAAATATTTGGTCTATAAGTTGACAGTTCTGATAAATCACTTCTATTTTTTCTGGAGCTACATATTCGCCCTGTGCCAACTTGAACATACTTTTTACACGATCAACAATTTTCAAAGCGCCTTCCTTTGAAGTGTTAAAGAAAAGAGCAAAACGCTGAGGTCATAATACTTTACTGTTAAAAAAAGATACTTGGTCCTAAAGAGCACTAATTTATTCTAGAGTAAACTTAATACATAATGGGTTAAGTTGTCTGAGATAATGACATACAATTTCGGTCACCTGGATATCATCAATCAAAACTATGCATAACAAAGAATTCATAATTTATGTATTTAAGTGTTTATGGGTGGGTGAGTTATATAGTTCTAAGTAGAACACAGAAAACTAAAAAAAGGTAACAACACTAAGAAGAAATAAAATGGGAACTGCTATGTCTTACCACCCGCCAATACACGCAGAAGACCATAATCAACCAATACATAGCAAAGAGGAGGAAGACTGGTACTCTATGCTTGACGATCGGCTCAACACTAACTAGCCCCGAATGAAGAGGAAGAACACAAGACCAATGATCACCCGTCCATGATCGCTACCATATTTCAGACATTTATTTATATACATACATGCCAGACCGCGCAGTGAAACAGCTAAGTGTTAACATGAAGCAACTAAATTAATGATGGGGAAAACGGAGTACTGGGTGAACATATAATCGGTTCTAGTTTATGAGTAGAAAATGGTATAGCAAAAGTTTACGGTTCAAATAAAAGCTTGATACTAGGGTAATACGAAAATAATAAGACCAAAGTACTTATTAAACATCCAATCAATAGATATAAGGAAAATCGTAGAACGATAGCTTCGAAAATTGTTTCCTCATAGTTAAATTGTCACCTACAACAAAAACTATATACAAGTAATAAAAATAAAAAGCCTCTTGCGATACGATCCAGATAACACAGCTAATGCAAGTCTGATTCACTCAAAAGGTAAATAATTATGTTCAAGAGCAAAACAATAAAATCTCAAATGTCTGGATTGTGATCAGTAGTGGAACTTAGGACTTCTTAACATGGTATTCGCACTGAAATTCAAATTTAATAGCCATTACGCATTAACTAATAAAAACTGAGTCCAGATACATAATAACGGGTTAAACAGGTATGAAGTTAAATCTAGATGTTAAACTTCTTTGCTGTTTACATCAAGGACTGCGATAGATTCGTATCCAAGCTTTATGCTATTTTGTAATCTGAGACTAGAAAAGTAGTTTTTCTAACACACATAGTCACTATATCCCTACAAATACTGACCTAACGTAACTTTTGGCTTCCTAGGATCATGCATAAACTATTGATATCAGTTACACCACATTTTCGGCTGCTAAAGAGAGTGAAAAATCTTTTGCAAAAGATCAATCTTTTGTGTTGCGGTCGTGAAGCATATTATTGGTTGATAAGTCTTATCGATTGCTTGCGTCTTCTCTTTGGTGTTCAAGTCGCTGTGTAGTTCTAGCTTTCGGGGTACCAGAATAGCTTAGGAAACTAATATAGCGTTCAATCGAGTCAGTCAGTAACGACGTAGAACTTCGTACGTACGTAAATCAGTTCAAGTTGCCATACCACATTAGTACAGAGATGCAGTTGTCGATTCAAATCCCGTAGTGATAGAGGCGGTAAGAGTATAAGCAGTAATCGGGAAGATTAGGGTTTGGAGATGTTATTTAAAGAGTATAATCCAGTGAAATAAATTTGGAAAGAGGAAGAAAGGGACATGAAGAATTCAGAAGATTAGAATTTGGGAGAACACAAAGAGTGGATGCACCTGCGCTATTGCAAACGATTTTGAGCCATGTCATTCAGGGTCTCTAACCATCGGTTGCTATCATCTCGTGGTCCCCAACCAGGTAGTCTACACCTACCAACATGGCTCACAATTGATTGATCATGTTGGGGCAGTCGGTCGTTGGGCATACGTAACACGACCGACTGCCTCGACGAGCGATGTTCAGTGGTATAGGAGTAGGTTGGAAGAAAGCTAGGGGTGGCCAGACCAAACATGGCACAAATCCATGAAGTCACTGACAAGTGGACTGAGCCATGTTGATATTTAGATGGTAGTTGGAGGTAGTCAACAGGAAACCCTGGACCCGGGTTTCGTGCTACTTGGCACTCGTCTGCACGGTCTACCTGTAATCTTGAGGGAACTGGTGCTCCACCCAGTGATCAATCAATTGTGAGCCATGTTGGTAGGTGTAGACTACCTGGTTGGGGACCACGAGATGATAGCAACCGATGGTTAGAGACCCTGAATGACATGGCTCAAAATCGTTTGCAATAGCGCAGGTGCATCCACTCTTTGTGTTCTCCCAAATTCTAATCTTCTGAATTCTTCATGTCCCTTTCTTCCTCTTTCCAAATTTATTTCACTGGATTATACTCTTTAAATAACATCTCCAAACCCTAATCTTCCCGATTACTGCTTATACTCTTACCGCCTCTATCACTACGGGATTTGAATCGACAACTGCATCTCTGTACTAATGTGGTATGGCAACTTGAACTGATTTACGTACGTACGAAGTTCTACGTCGTTACTGACTGACTCGATTGAACGCTATATTAGTTTCCTAAGCTATTCTGGTACCCCGAAAGCTAGAACTACACAGCGACTTGAACACCAAAGAGAGGACGCAAGTATGAGGGAAAATACTTTACTCCGAGGTTCATTTTATTACAGAAAATATAGGGTTTTTATAATATATCTAAATGTCCTTGGGTCGCTGGAATATTCTGGAATGCTACTAAACATAGTAGCACTGTAGTAGCCAACCAATCAGAGCTTCCGCATGTGACGTTTCGCTACCTTGATATTTCTGGCCAAGACTCCAAATGAACGCTGATTGGACGAAACACTTCTTAGTGTTTCTTGATGCTTGCTTGTCTTTTGCAAGCGATTTCTGGATCACCCCAACATTAGTAGAGTATGGCTCAAGTCTCTTACAAGTGGGATGCTTCACATACATGCAATATATTATGAACACTACTTTGGTCGCACTTAGTTACGTTGTGGAGTAGTTATGGATATCTTCTTTGCTGTTGTGTTGTTCATATTTCTGGTCAACAGAAATCAGGACTTCAAATGGCACGATTTCTAGTCATCCCTTGGGTGCAGGACATTAAGTTAACAAACAACCAAGACCTAGTCCTCTGAATTTTGCCGAAGTTGTTATTATTAAACACTAGAAACATGATTTATTTGCCTGAGAAAGAAACATCATTAAATTTCTCTTCTGGTTCGACAACTCTTTCTCATCGAAATCATGAACCGATCAATGGTAGACCAGCATCGGAAGCATGTAAGTACTGGACAGCCGTTTCGTCCTAGTGTGGGACTCCTCATAAATGCGCATCCATGGTCCCGCACGCAGTAATCAAGCCAAGCACCTTCGGTTTTGTGAGCGAACGTTTCGAATCTAGACCACTGAGCCAACATCCAACGGTGTTACTGTCTAACTTCAACCTCGCACAACCGTGCCGGGTATGAGGTATTTACATACCGAAGATGATCGCGCGACATCGTGGATTGGTTGAAGTTAGACACTAACACCTACTGGATATTGGCTCAGTGGTCTAGAGTTTAGACGTTCGCTCACGAGGCCGAAGGCGCTTGGCGGGACTGTCGCGTGCGGGATCATGAATGCGCACTTATGAGGAGTCCCATACTAGGACGAAACGGCTGTCCAGTGCTTCAAGGCTTCTGATGATGGTCTAACACTGATCGGTTCATGATTTGGATGAAATTCAACAATCTCCACAACTACAAACTGAAAATTTTGTTTTTAACTAACTGGCCTTTACTCATTTTATTTTACGCTTACTTAGTCTTTAGCGTTAGTTTATTGTAAGTAGGCACATATTTTTAGCCTTATGGACTCCCACTACTAGAAATGTTGCAGAAAGTTCTTCTGCAGACGATATTTCATAGACGGACATCATGCTCTGGCTGCACTCATCTCTGCACCAGCTTGTCTGAATATGAGCAATAATTATTCGAATATCACAGCTTTATCAACTAACTTACAATATTTAGTTAGTATTATGTGTGTGATACTAACATTTCTGTCATGATTAATCAATCCATATGGTACATACGTTCATATATCGATCTGAATAAAGAAAAATTGGTTCGAAAGACACGTGGATAGATATCTTGTAAAATCTACTCTTACAAATATACGTTTCGTCAAAACTTACAGTTGTCCATTCTCCAATGTCACCAGTATGTAACCAACCATCAGCATCAATAATTTGGGCTGTACTTTCAGGGTCTTGGAAATAACCTTTGGTACACCGTTTCCCTTTAATACATATCTAATACAGAAATAGTATACTGATGAGAGAAGTAAACAATTATAAATATGATGCGAATAATTTCCCATTGTGACTTTTTTGAAACAGTTTAAAGTAAAATGTGACTACCGTAAAAGGTGTATAAATTTCAAAACTCAATCTAATACACACCAAAACCAGTTATTTTTGAAAGGATTCTATTCAACGAGAGTTTCTTTTCATTTCAATATTTTTATTTTATCGGACTATATTGTCTCCTGGAAATGCATCGAGTAAAAAGCTCATTAATGAGTATAACAGTCTAACTCCGTATGAATATTCCATTTATTTTTTCTAGAAGACACTTATTGTTACTTCTAAATCCTAATGATGGGATGGTTCTAACACATACTATGAGGACAACGGTATTTGAGTAAATTATCAATTAATTGATAAATAAGGAAAACATACATGTTATAAAACCTGAATATCGAAACAGTATTTTTGGATCAGAATAAAGATGCCGATATTCAACGGTCAACTAAATATGCAAGGTAGCTTTAACTCTAAAACGAAAAAGATTTATTTCTAATCATAACACAATTTTAGAAATATGCTCCATTCAGTTTAAAGGTCGATGGAAAGTAAATTATACAGGTATTACTCTGTGTAAGTCAGAGTTTTAAAAAAGTTCAATTTTTGACAAATGTCAGAAAATTCTCATCTTTCAAATATAAAAACAAGTGAAAAGAAAACCAGTTCTATTAACTCCATCAGAATATTTCCGTGCATGTTATTTTCAAAAGAGGAAGGCATATGCCAAACTCCATTGCCAATAGGCTAGAAGTAACGAATTCAACATTAATAGATCTACGCATATAAATTTACGTTATGTTGTGACAATACAGCAAAATATAAAATATTTTGTGATATACTTACCTCGCCTCTGTTATCTCTGAGAGCTACAATATCCATATCTAAGACATCAGCAAGTTTGACTTCGATCCTAGAAGTGATCGCACCGACAGTACCTTCATGAGATTCCCCTAAGACAGTTACGCTAGTTACACCGGAAACTTCAGTTGATCCGTAACCTGCGACAATCTAAATACAGGTAGCAAAATTACTTGAGAACCTGTACAATTTATAGAAAGACTAAAAATGTTTAGAAATTTAAAATGACATATATTCAACAACGGATAAATGTTTATGTAGCTTAGTTCCAAATAATTCTTAATGAAATGCATCTGTCAAAAAACTGTCCAGACTTCATTTTCTAAGGCGAGAGTGTTTCTAACAAAAACAAGGAAGCAAAAGTAAATGTGTGGAGGCGGAACTCGATCAATCAATAGACAGAGTCCAAAGCTCGTGGTTCTGAACATTTAGATTTCAAGCCAAGTTTTAAACAAATTATGACATAACTTAAGATAAAAAACTTCGAATATGAGAGAGCTAGTTTAACCCTACATTTACTACAGATGCATAATAGTTTCACTAAGTGTTCTTTCAATCCCATTATTTTAATGTATAAATATTTCTCTCGTAGCCTATCTCCGTTATAAAGCGCGTTTTATGTGTGGATTTGAAACACTAAATTGTCGCTTCTAAAAAGTCATCATGCACTGTGAACTCATGTGAGCAGTTAAAGCTTATCAATTTCAATACTTAACTTTTAATGGGGATGAAACATAAGACAGACTTGTTTGTAACTTCGTAAACTGTATCGATATGCACTTTATCACAGATATCCGTATTTGTGAATAGGATTTCTGTTTGATCATTATAAAGTTTGGTTTCAATGTACCCCCATTCAAAAGAATGGTAGGAGTTAGTCCGGCTTTTTCGGTGTCACTGTTACAAAAGAGATATGGTCAAAGACAAAGCACTTGACTTGGATCTCATCAACAACCAATTATGTTTCATTAAGCCAGGGGTTCGATAAAGTGGGAAAACGATCATCTAATACACAGTGTGGGTAGCTATAAACAGATAGTCGTAGTATTTATGACTACGGAGAATGTGTTGGTTACGGGCTAAATAGAAACGGTCTTCTTCAGGTAATCTTGAAGCTTATTCGCTTATCAGGATGACTGTGGTGTGTGCTACTTATATTGACATATGTAGTATATGATGTTAGTCGTGAACAGAAGGTCTGGCAGCAGAGGGGCAAGAGGATCGAACAGTAAGGAATGGAAACAGAATGGAATTGATATGAAAATGCAAGAACAATGAAGTCTGAGTCACTTTGAGACAATCGATGGACATTTTGCAAATTAAGCATTTATTTTATCATTGTTGGATTTTATTAACAAGTCCTGTAATTTTGTGTTAAATACATTCGATTGTTCCCCACTGGTGTTCGTGTTCACTGCATGACTAATACACTCATAAACGTTATTCTGGAAATGGGAACTATTGAATCAATTTAAGCAAAGATGGATGGTGGCTAGCAATGCCTCTGACTTAAGGCAATATCGAGTCAGTCCGCACAGGATGCACATATGTCAATGAGAGACTGATCAACTGCAGTCCTAAACATCAAATGGGAAGATTTAAAAAAATATAAAATGAATTATTGGATTAATGTTTTACAGCACATGACTCCTTTTGAGTAGAGACCGGTGATTAAAAACAGGACTTTTCCCGATAAAGATTAAAGCTAATATAAAGAATCAGACTCATTCATTTCAAATGTCTGTGTGTTCAGTAGACACTGATAAAAACGTCTGTTAATAAATCTAGTTCATATGGATATATATATATATGAACAAGTTTACTCAGTTTACTGACCTTATAATAAAAAGCTAATTAAATAAAAAAGATCATCAGTTTATGGTATTTTTGTAAGTAACGTTTTCACACTCTTAGATCGGAAGTACAACTGAAAACTTAATTTACATTGCCTTGACACGAACAATAACATATAACTTAACAATAAAATTGCTTAAATCATTCACTGAGGTGGTTTCAAGCAATACCTATAATAACCAGTTTAAGAAGAGTAGGGTAGAACTTAGTCAACTCAAATAAAATAGCTAGGTACCAGTCTCTAGATTCGTTTTCTAAGAAAGGTAAAAATAACACCATATATTAAGGGAATAAAGTGGTTTTCGTATGTTATTCAATAAATGACAGTTAAACATCTAGATACATGGTTTTCTGCAAACGGTGTCGTTGTTTTTTCTCTGGTCATTAATTGTGAATATTTCTTAATAATATTGACTGATAAAGTAATATAGAAAAAAAATCAAAGAAAAAAGTACATCATACACTGATAAGAATACCAAAATATGTTTTAGACGCTTCTATAAGAAAATCGACACATCTTTCATGAGCAAATCAACTATATGAAATGTGTAGAGAAGTTGTTAATTGATAGATTATTTTCAACATCGACTGATATAGCTTAAATGACTTTTTTATTCTACTTTGGGATATTGAGGGAGTGAACAGATAACTACTCAATAATGGTTTAGAAATTGAAGCTTTAAGTTCAAGATTATTTATTTATCGCGATCATCACCAAATGCAATAAGCATGTATTTGTTCTTACTTACAATTCGGTTGAGTTTATTGACCTAGACTTCCTACAACACAATACAGAAGTAGCTCCCTAATAATACTGTGGTGCATGTCCGTCGAGATAAGTAGTATGCAATACCCATCAGAATTGGGATGTCTGGTAGCAGATGGTTGAGAAGATCGAACTAAAGAGAACGGGAATGTAAACAGATTGTAATCGTAGTAACAACAAAAATGAAGTAACGACGAAGTATGTAAGAGACAATTGATGGAAGATGTGCAAATGAAGTAATTCATGTATAGTTTTCGTATTTTATGAAGATATGCTGTAATTTTGTATTCAACAACAAATCGGTCTTCCCCACCTGAGTTCTAGTTCACTACAATACTATCTCACTTAGAAATTTCTAATTAAGGAGATATTTACATTATAATCAAGAACGAAGATTTCCAATCACACAATCCTTACATGCATTATTGATAAGCATAAACCGATTCAATTACTTTTAGACGTCCTTAGACTAAAGTAGTTTCAAAGAATCTAGAGAATGTTTGGTGTATAGGCAATTCGCCGTTGAAACAAAAGTCCAGTGAGAACGACTTCCCATTTCAATAAAGAGAACCCGCCCAAAAAACTTTATAATGTAAGACGAACAGAAATGACCTACAAGACCCTTGAAAGCAGCTCGAAAGAAGTTGAACAGCTCTGGTGAAATTGGTGCACCCCCTGTAACTATCATACATACCCTTCCACCAAGAGCCTGACGGAGCTTCTTGAAAAAAAGTGTGTCAAGAATATCATCACGATTAATTTTCCCACTAAAAAGGAGAAAACAAAAGAATTAAAATATATTGATCTTACGAAGGCCTATGCTATTAAAATCGACGTAATCAAAATTGACCGATTGAGCAAACTTGTAAAACAGGAATTTCACTTCTTGTCCTCTTCAATCTCAATATGAAATTTCATGAGTATTTAATAATTTAATGTGTTATCGAAGTGAAACAAGATGTATAAACTTTATTTTTAAAAAATCTTTAACACTCAACTTTATTTCATTGCATTTCCAGTCAGGTTAAGCATAAAAGTTTCACATATGAGGGCTAAAAGCAGGATTCTATTAAACATATAAAATTAACAGCATACTTAGAATAATTTCATTTTATTGCTTCGTGTTTGTAAAAGCTAAAACCTACATCGTTTTAATCAAAATGCCTGGTTTAATTTTCAGGGTTGAAAGTACAATGTTTTTCAGCACAATTCAGTAAACTAATTAAAACTACTATTCTGTAACTCGATACTCTGAATAATAACATAAAATTTATTAAATCAGAATAGCCTCTACACATGCATATACTGATAACAACTAAGGTGCTTAAGAGTAACCGAATTAGAGAGATGATTCCCGGGGTTCTAGTGAAAAGTCATGACAAATGGGGCTCAACCGCGCTAGATGTGAGGTGGTTGTTACCTATCAAACGTTCATAGCTCAATCAATGGTGATGGGATCGTAGATGGGCACTACTAAGGAGTCCGATACAAGGACGAAACAATCATCGAAAGCTTTCAGGTTTTCAATCATTGCTTAGAATAGGCCATCTCGTAATCTCGGTAATTAAGGACTATTTAAACGCTACTTACATAAATAACAACATTCGAAATAGAAAGGTATTTTAAAATGAAGAATAAACTATTTAAGAATAAATTAAAGACGTCCATTTTAAACAGCAAAAAAGAGAAATTGTTCCATTGACGAAATAACCCTTTTCGATGAGTTTATCTTCAGTGTTGTACACGATTAGAAAATAAATAATGAAACGATAAATATCAAACTATTCTCCAGTCACGGATTAAAGTTTATTAGGTAGTAAAATAAGATTATTTGACATAAAAAACATTATCCAGAACAAAATAAGTAGGTTATCATTTAGTATAATAAAAAACAAATCCTTTACTCACCTGTTTAAAATCTTTAGATTTCTTTTAAGAGTATATTCATATAGATACCTTTTTAAAAATGAATTACCAAGTGCATTCTGGTATCTTTCATATATACGCGACAAGACACGTGGAACCGCCGGAAGTACTGTAGGTTTTAGAGCCTGAGCATCATCTAACAAGCCAGTAATTGCTCCAGTAAGGAATCCGATTTGTCCCCCACAAAATACAGCAGCAGCCTGCAAGTGCAAACATGTGAAAGCAAAGGCAATAAACAACGATGTTGTTTTCAAGAATGGCAACTCGTGTTCAGACTCTGAGATATGGTTATTGTCTGATGTCCATGATGCTACAGTTATATGACCTTTTGTATACCAAAATGCGAAATCAGCATTGATTTATTAGATAACAGATAACAATGACTAGAGCATAAATCTGTACCATAGAGCGGTGTTAGCAGTTCGTGACTAATTTACGAATAGATTACGCTACTTATCAACCAATAACTAAATATTTTATAAAACTGAGAAGATAAACCAAAAGAGTGAAATGGTAAGGAGAATCTTATAAAAGTTCTTACTTTCATCTGCTATAAAAGCAAACAATACTTACTCTCAAGGAACGTTCTGAAATTCGTAGAAAATACAGTGATCCGCAGTTCTAACGATTATGAAACTCACTGATTTAAGACGTTATCAAATACAACTCAGAATAAAAGCCTACGGTTATAAAATCAATAGCAATCTGATCAACTTATACAAGAATTTCATGTTCTGATGTTTCTAATTGGAAGATGTACCTTCGATTTCGTTCGTCATTACTGTAAGAGCATTGCTTAATTAAGTGAACTGTTTCTTAGTTGTGCTTTTAACATGACTTTTATCAAATATAATTGTAATTCATTTATTCTTTGATAGTACCATCTTTATATTCTTTATTTATTTACAATACTATCACTTCATATGTATGCAGCATTTTGGGTTTCCGATTGTACCAGGATTTATGAGCTTAAATAAATAAAGAATGCAGTGAACAAATGAACACTTAGGTTCCTAACACAAAGACCAGTAGTGACTTTTATAAGGTTAATTCCTGATATCAGAGCTGAACCAGTGAACTCATTTCTATCTTTTAGTAATTGATGATTTCTAAACACCTTACCAAATGAATTCATTACTCAAGGATATTAAAACAAAACAAAAGTTTTCTAATAATCTTTTCCAATCACAGATCACTGATGTTTGGGGTGCTTTTGTCAAGTCTATAAAACACTTTCAAGATTAAATCTATTCATTTGAAAACTAAACATCTGTACTGTGAAATTCTTGTTTCATGATTATATTACTTGTCATAAACGAGGGTTCATCCCCCTTTCTTGTTTCTCATTGGTTAAATTAAACTGTTTATGCTCTTATTGGTTGAAACGCATTTAACATAGACAACCATTTTAAACACATCAGTTTTACTGGTTTGAAATTATCTGTTGTACTTGTCTTATCACCTAGAATGTAAGCTTAAATATAACTAATCATGATTTATTGTACAACCACATATATATTTTATATATACTCATATACAGATATTTCTGAGTAAGCAAGACAGTTTTCTGAATCCAATAGACTTCGAGCGAATTCAACAATTATTCTAATGAATCTGTCACTAATATTTTCACTACGTTGAAACTTTACCAAACATACTAGAAATAATTTTCCGAAATCAAATCTATGTAAGCAATCTACTACTATGCAATTTCAAACATCCTGAGAATCGTTAATTCTGCCGTTCGTAAAAATCGTCGTGGCGGTAGGCTGACATGTATCGAATACACTTAAAATGAAACTCCTTTGGGAATTCCGAACTGTATTTTAGGGCGGTTTCATTAAGTTGTAACTCACTAGTAAAATATGACCACACTGTAATTAATTACGTTTGTTACCCCCTTGTAGAGGAGCATAGGCTGCCAACCAGCACTCTCCACATAACTATGTTCTGCGCAGTCCTTTCCAGTTGTTTGCAGTTTCTATTCACCCCAATAGTGTCTGCCTCCAGCTGCCGACGCAGTGTTCCTTGGATTCCAGACTAGGCCTTGCCATGTGACACACTGCTGATTTCCCCAATTTACGTCATATCCCTCTGTATGGATCGGGAGTTTGGAGAACTAGGAAAGCCGTTAACCAGAAGATACAAGTGTTTATTAACAGTTGTCTACGCAAAATACTTCAGATCGTTTGGACAGACAAAATAAGCAACAAACTACTGTGGGAGAGAACAAACCAGAATCCAGCGGAGGAAGAAATTAGCAAGAAGCGCTGAAAGTGGATAAGACACACATTGATAAAGGCACCCAAATGCGTCGAAAGGCAAGCCTTCACTTAGAATTCTAGAGTCCAAAGGAGGAGAGGAAGACCACAGAATACATTACGCCGACAAATGGGGACAGACATGAGAAGGATGAATAACAACTGGATAGAACTAGAAAAGGAACAGGACAGAGTGGGTTGGAGAATGCCGGTCGGTGGCCTGTGCTCCATTAGGAGTAACAGACGTAAGTATGTCATATCCACCTCCAACGTCTTTTCCTAATTTCCTCTTCAGCCCGAAGCTGGTTTGTTCTCTCCAACAGTAGGCTGTTGCTGATGGTATCCGGTCAACGGACAAATGTTTTGAGTTCCACATGTTCTTCAACTGTAGGAATGCTGCCCTTGATTTTCTAATCCTCGCCCTTAAGTTGGCATCCGACCCTCCTTGTTCGTCGATGATGCTTCTCAGTTGAGTGAAAGATCCCACTTCTCCCAGAACTTCTCCATCAAATGTGATTGGTTTGTTGTACTTCGTGTCGTATTTCAGGATCTTGCTTTTTCCCTTGTGTATGTTGAGGCCTACTGATGCAGAGACTGCTGCTACACTAGTTGTCTTTATCTATATTTGTTCGTGTATATGGGATAGAAGAGATGAGTCACCTGAGAAGTTCAAATCGTCCAGTTGCATCCAAGCTATCCATTTCATTCTGCGCATCCCCTCAGATGTCGAGTTCTTCATAATCCAGCCAACCACCGAAAAAAAAGAAAGGTGAAGAGTGAGCAGCCTTTTCTGACTCCGATCCTCACTTCGAATGAGTCTGTCAACTGTCCTCCATGCACCACTTTGCACTGTAGTCCGTAGTATGAATTCTGGATTATGTTGCCGATCTTTTCGAGTACACCAGTGTTGAAGAAGGCTCCATAATGTTCACCTATCCACGCTATTAAATGCTTTCTCATAGTCAAGGAACTTGGTGTATAGTGACGAGTTCCATTCATTTAATTGTTAAACGATGATCCGTAGTGTCTCCATTTTGTCTGTGTACGACCGATCCTTACGGAACCCATCCTGTTGATCTGGAAGTTGGACATCCACTGGATCTTTTATTCGATTCAACAACACTGTTAAAAACCTCCTCTGGTACTGATAGTAGTGTGATGCCTATGTAGTTAGTTCTCACATTTGCTCAGATCTCCTTTCTTTAGTTTCTCGATGAGGTATCCTTCTTTCCAGTCTGCCGGTATGTGTTCTCCCAAATATTCGTGAATAGAAGATGGAGTACGTTTGCAGTTGCTTCTATGTCTGAATTCAGTACTTCAGCTGGTATGTTGTCTGGTCCGGCTGATTTCCCACTTTCAACTTGTCTGATGATCGTCTTGATTTCATCGATCATCGGTGGAGTGGCATTTATATGAAAATCTGTAGGTACTGCTTTGACTTCTGGTGGATTCAGTTTGGCTGATTTATTCAAGAGTTCTTCAAAGTGCTATACCCATCTGCTCCTTTGTTCTTGAATCTCAATGGTCGGAATCCCTTTGTCCTTGACTAGTCTCTCTGGTTTACTATATTTCCTTGCTACTTTCTTCGTTGCACCACATAGCTGTCTCGTATTTTCCTCTCTCGCAGCTTTTCCACTGTCGCTGCTATCGTCCCATGATATTTTCATATCCGGTGTTGTCTATTCCGACTTTGGCTTTCAAGTTTATCATCAGGATTGTCAGATCCTTTTCTGAGCACTTCTCTACGATCGACTGCATCATCTCATACATAGCATTAGGTAGCACTCCTAATAATCACCTCCTTTGTTCTGGAGAATGTGCTGACGATTCTGGATCCATGAGATTCCCATTCAACAAGTGTTTTTCGTGATTCTTTGGATAGCATTAGAGCAACTCCTTGTGTGTGCGAAGCATTTTTTTGCTTCATGACCAGAGTACAACAGCACCTCTACTGAGGCTAATCTTTTCTGTTTAGCTTGTGTCCAATGGGTTTCACTTATTTCGAGCACCGCTAACTTGTTTCTCCCCATTTCCACAGCTGTTTGACTGGTCCTTCCGGTCTACCACATTGTCCGAACATTCCATCTATCTGTTAATCGTTGCTCTGGCTGTTAGAAAGGACATCAACTTGTTGACTTCCGAAGAATATCGGCTTTCACCATGAGGCGTCATAATCCTTCTAAACGAAGATCCTTAAACTCCCAGGGTAGAGTTTAAATGGTTTGATTTTTTCATTCTGGTTAGCGTTTTTTTTAGCAAGGTTGTTTTCCACGGGTTGGGGTGCTGACCCCATATCAAGTCCTCCTCCTTTACCCTGGTTTGAGACCGGCAGTAGCTCTAGAGTAGCTACAAACATAATCTAGAATATATATACGAGCTACTGCAAAATCTGTTAGAAAGTTACATTATTATTAGGCAAGAGAATGAACTACTGACCAAAGTTTTCGTTCATCTGGGGTAGTAAATACGTAATCTGATGGAGAAAAACTGAAAGAGAATAAAGTCTTTAGGAATTAATTAAGTGGATGTAAATAGATGTCTAGCATATTCTTCAATCGTGATTTTCACCAAAGAGTACTTGGTACATGGACATAACTTATGAAAGGTAAATTACTAAGATCTGAGACCCTATATCATGATATTAATGGTGAACCATATACTGTTGGGTTATTAAAGTTACTGACAGACACTAATTAGCTTGGAATTGTTACGGCGATTCTTACTCACCGAAACCCATTAAGTCTACTTTCTGTGTAACTGTTATAACGCTCGGTCTTCCACTTCTGCACGAATGGGGCGTTAATTTGTTTTAGACAAATATTTACAATAGATACCCTCCCAGTGTCTATTCTAGAGGACTTCAACACAACTGAGCACAAGAACACGTGATAAAATAGGAATTAAATAACGAAAGACTTTTCTTTTTCATCAAGGAAAGACTATAATTTATGGATGACCTATGTGCGACGTTAAAGTGACCTTGAAAATGTCCACATTTTAACTAGGACTAAATGACAGTTATAAACCAGTGTGAGGAAATAAAATTATGATTTACCGTTGATTGTTAGGGTTAGGATTCGATTTAAGGTTTTCATCACGAACTGATATCAGCTTAAATGCCAAAGTGCTATTTAGCCAATTGAATGACTGAATTTCGCGCCAAAATCCAAAACCTGTTATTCTACATCTGATCGGTTTCGTTCATAAATCGTAGTCTCGCCTCGTTATCTATCGACGAGTAACTATTAATATATTACCTTTGAAATTTTATTCACACCTCAGCGGCAGTCTTGAAGTTATCAATTCTAGATATGTTATCAGGAAATAACTGACTGATCAAGTTAACTGAAGTGGTTTGTTTAGTGTTTTCCACTCTTAACAAGTCCTAAGTCCCAAATTCAATAGCCATCAGAATACATGACTGATCAAAATGACTGAGTCAGTTAAAGACCTATAGCCTAAATTTATAAAAAAATAGTCACTTCAGTCAGTCCTATGGGTTAGTTCGGATACTACCAACTTTCGTTTGATGTTAGACGAAAGATTAGATATACTTCAGACATATTTTGAATTATAGTAAGGGTAACAGTAAACAAGTTACAGAAACTAACTTTGATAATATCTAGAAACGGACAAAATGTTACTAATGTGATATAGAAAAAGAAAAATCTTGTAAACACCGAACTTCAATGAATTTTGAGTATTTCTGTAACAGTTTGAAAATAACCCTACATGAATCTCTACTACAATTGTGCTGCTATGTAACTGAATATGAATATTTTCCCCAAAGCAGAAAAAACGTCTGTGAGGTCCATTAAACCCAAGTGAATAGAGCTCCTATTTATTTATACAGTGACTAGAAATCTTTGCAACTAAAATGATTTTCATACAAAAGATGACGTAAGTTGGTATATTTACAGTACTCATTGTTAATTTAAAATGTAACATAATTGCTCATATTATTAAAACTGATTGCTTTAATAATGTAAAGGCAAAAGACCTACCGAAGTAACTTGCTCCATTACATGAGCAAAAGGTAGATATGAAATGTGAACAGAATTCCGACAATACAACTGTAAAAAGATCAAATTAATCAATCAGTCAATCAGCAACAACATAGAAATTTGTACGTACATCAGTTCACGTTTCCACACCACATTATCACAGAAATACAATTGTCGATTCAAATCCCGTAGTGGTAGAGGTGTAGTCAACAAGAACACCAGTGGGGAACAATCGAATGTATTTAACACAAAATTACAGGACTTGTTAATAAAATCCAACAATGATAAAATAAATGCTTAATTTGCAAAATGTCCATCGATTGTCTCAAAGTGACTCAGACTTCATTGTTCTTGCATTTTCATATCAATTCCATTCTGTTTCCATTCCTTACTGTTCGATCCTCTTGCCCCTCTGCTGCCAGACCTTCTGTTCACGACTAACATCATATACTACATATGTCAATATAAGTAGCACTCACCACAGAGATAGTAAAAGTATAAACAGTAATCGAAAAGATTAGGGTTTAAAGATGTTATTCAAGGTGTATAATCCAGTGAAATAAATTTGGAAAGAGAAAAAAAGAAAAGGACATGAAGGTATCAGAAGATTATAATTTGGGAGAACGCAAAGCGTGAATGCACCTGTGCAATTGCAAACGATTTTGAACCATGTCATTCAAGTTGTCTAGTCATCGGTTGCTATCGTCTCGCGGATCCCAACCAGGTAGTCTACACCTACCAACATGACTCATTCCACTTGTCAGTGACTTCATGGATTTGTGCCATGTTTTGGTCTGGCCGCCCCTAGCTTTCTTCCAACCTACTCCAACATTACAAACCATCGCTCGTCGGGGCAGTTGGTGGTTGGGCATACGTAACACGTATCCTAGCCATCTCAACTGATGAAGTTTCACTACTTCATCGATCGATTGGCCATCCTTTCCTAGAACTCGTTTCCTAACAACTGTAACACCTATTCGGTGGTCCCAGGATATACGAGCAATGCTTAGAAGACACTTATGATCAAATACTAGTAACCTACGAATATCCTCCACTCTTACCGGCCATGTTTCACTGTCATAAAGTAGGACGGAACAAACCCATAATTTAGTTGGTAGACGGATATCTCGCCTACACCATAAATGACACAAGTTGGCAAAAGCTAGTCGAGCCTTCTGTGTCCGTGCTGAAACTTCGTCATACACCAGACCACAAAGACTGATGAGACTTCCAAGATAAGTGAAGCGGTCGACACGCTCAATTACTTCACTCCTCATCGTTAGTTCGGGTGTCGATGCAACCCAATCCTGAAGCAACATTTTGCACTTCGAGGGGAGGGGAAATCGCATCCCGAACATGATTGCACTGTTGCTTAGAGTGGTCGGAAGACTGCATTTTTTCAGCGTCTTCACCAAATAGAACTATGTCATCGGCATATTCCAAGCCAACTAGTGGATCTCCTGGTAGAAGTTCAACCCCTGGAAATTTAGACGAGGAAAGTGTTATCTCCAAAAGTACGTCAACGACAAAGTTAAACAAGAATGGAGAGAGTGGACAGCCCTGACGAACACCACTTGAGGTAATCAATTCTGATGACAGTTCACCATAAGCTCTCACTCTACCAGTTGTGTTCGAGTAGAGAGCCTTTACAAGATTAACGTACTTCTTTGGTACTCCTTTCAATAACAAACACTGCCATAGAACCTCACGATCAACAGAGTCAAATGCCGCCTTAAGGTGAGACGTTTGAATGCATGTCTATGTTCTAGAACCTGACGTAGTGTGAATATCTGATCTATACAACCACGTCCAGGTCGAAAACCAGCCTGATTTTCTCTAGTCTGTTCTTCACGAGCTTTGGTTAGGCGTCGAAGTATTATTGAAGCGAATATTTTAGACACTATATTAGTCAAACTGATTCCTCTGTGATTGACACAAGAGGACTTTTGTCCTTTCTTATAGACTGGCACAATCAGTGATTGAGACCAGTCAGATCGGCTTACGTCCAGTTTCCAGATTCTACCTAAGACCTCAGTCAATCTCACTGCCAGTACTGGACCACCATCCTTAAAGATCTCAAGAGTAAAACTGTCAGGGCCTGCTGCTCTCCCTCGCTTCAGATTTTCGATAGCTTTTTCAACTTCGTAAAGAGTTGAAGGACTTGCATCAACTTGGCATTCAGGTCAACTGGAGATCTTGGGAAACGGAAGTGTAGTTGAAGATCAGTTGAACTGATCCCTAAAGTCTGAACAGTCATCTGCTGTTACTTATTGCCGCCGTCTTTTCTATCTCTCTTGTTTTCGCTACCCACCAGTGCTCGCGATCATTGCATAGGCTTCTTGTCAGTCTGCGCTTAAGCTGACTCCACTCTTCGTCATGTTCAGCGCCAGATTGGATGAGTTTTCGAGCATCTATCAGTGCGGTAGATGCTGCTGAGACCCAATGATTCTCCCTAACCTTATGGTTTACCGTACTAGCAGATATCACTGCTGTCTCCACAGCTTTTCGGATATCATTCCATGCTGCCTCGGGTTGGGCATCATTTACATGGCTGCCTAACTGTTTTCCTAGTTGTTCCTGAAATATACTCTTAGCTTGACTATCATTAAGTAGGGCCCTTAGAGGTTTACTTGCAGCGTCTTTCTTACGTCCAGTAAGACGCAGGCAAATACGCGCCCGCACTAGAGCATGGTCTGAATCTAGGCATGTGCTCCACAATGAGTGACGGTCTTCCATCGAGCCCCTCTATCGGTGGCTGGTAGCGATGTGGTGTATTTAGGTCCAACGTTGTGACGAATTAGGGGGTCACCATTTTAAAAGATGTTTTTCCTAATGCCTAAAGTTAGTATCTGCAAGGAACAGGCGGTTATCTGACCATAGCTGCAATACACGGTCGCTATTATCTGTTCTTTGAGCCACGACGCTATAAGATCCACCTAGGTGTCTTTCCCTTTCGCTTAGTTTACCAACTTGAGCATTAAAGTCACCAGCCACCATTACTACATCAAGACGCCTAGGTTTTCGGAGGTCGGAAAGCTATCTGTAAAATTCGTCTTTTACATCATCCGAGCTACAGTCAGTGGGAGAGTAAGCAGAGATGACGAAGAGGCAATGACGAGCGTCCCTTTCTTCCCGACTCCTTACTGTTCCGTTTAGTCGGACAGCGCACAAACGGCTGCCTATTGAGATCCAGACTAAGAGAGCTGGTTTTGTCCTAAAACTCAATGCTATACCTACACCAGCAAGACCACAGGAAGCGGAATCAGGGCTTCTAGATACACGAAGCGTGAGCCAAGTTGGTTTGTTATTTTGGCATGGTGAGGTCAAATGAATGACACTACTCGGATCATGTGTGCGCGTTTCGGAGACGCAGTACACACCGATGTCGCGAGATTCTAAAATCCTAGCTAAGGAAGCCAGTTGTCCTATTTGGCATAGTGTTCAGACGTTAAAAGCTCCTATATGTAATTTAGAGCTTGGTTTCAAGAGACCAAGAATAACGTTCTGTGTACTTAAATCGCTTGCATTAGCAGCGCAAGGTGATAAAGGAACGTGAGAAGGGTTAGTCGTGCAGATATGAGAATTACTATGGGATTTGATTGTGACCAAATTGATCTCATGTGCTGTTACGGGCATGAGGGCTGATGTCACTTCCCGGTTGCTTACACCATGGAAGGGTATTTCTTGAGGAACCTGAAATGGAAGCGTTGGTCTTAACGACCTGGGAGAGTGACCGCAGAGCCCAAGGAACAACTGCTTGAGGCCGGTTACGCGCGGCCTTATGTGGGAAGCTTTTAACGTGTTAGCTTCGTTCTTCAAAAGGCCTCACCGCCGAAGACAAAAATCCGTGAGGTAATGTGAGGTGTGACAGTTCTAGGGTAAACCATTTTTAACCCCTTCCTTCCTTGTGAGAAGGCAGCATTGCTGCATATGCTGGTTGTCCGAGAGAAACATCTTACTGCCGTCACGGCCCTCTACAGTCAGCAGTACAACTTCGCCCTCAGACCTTGAGTTGTTGCCTTCAGTCTTACAGTTCTCCAACCGACGTGCCTGGCATAGTAGAACCTATAGGAATATATGTCCAGCCAATATAGCTCGGTTGGGTCATCACGATAGGCAAGCCCAACCACCACGTCAAGGTAGTAGCTACGGTCGGGAAATTAATCAATACAGTTTATGAATATTTTGGGCGTGAATAATTTTATGGTATAATTTAATATGTTTCAAAGATTTCGATAATATAAATAGAACAAGCGTACACAAACATTTGCAGGCAGATTTGAACGGAACAAAATGATTTATTCAAGATTTTATCGGCAGAAAGCAAAGTTGTAATAAACTGAAACATTTGAGGTCTAATAACAGTTCAAAGGAAGCAACAGTCAAGTCAGACCTTCAGGAAAAATAACATACTTCTCAATGATTTACATTTCAACTATGTTCACCAATGATCGGTAAGAGTATGGTAAAAGGACAAGCTTAAAACAACCAAAATGGAATTTGCCCAGTCGTTAGCTAATCAGCAAATGAATACGTTGTGGAGGACGAGCAATATTGCAAACGGTAAAGATATTTTACATGATTAATAAATCCATTACAGATTGTTCTGTTTCTAAATCCGTCCATATGAGTGATATTTAGCCGTCTTATCACACATTTACAAGGACGTAATAATATTTTTGGCGATTTACATACTGTTCATAGTTGTGTTTAAAATTAGGACTAATATGTCAGGGTTAGGATCAGAAGTTTACGGTCAAGGATTTAGAGTTAGGGTCAGAATTGATGGTTAGAATTTACAGATAAGGTCGGTTTGCATGTTATATTTAGTCTATTTTTGAAGAATTGAACATTTTATAAGTTTAACATTATCATTTTTATTTTATAATGGGAGAAAATAGTTTTCCGTTATCATTTTAAACGTTCTGAACATCATACAGTAGTACTTTTAATGCTCGTTTCACGTGGTATGATATAAAAGTTATTCTTTCTTGAATTTAGCTCGTTTACCCCATTCTGACTAGCTCAATGTTATTTCTTTTAGATAGATTTTTCACATCGGGATATTTCATATTCATTCACTTCTTAAAATAAAGCAAACAATTCGAAGTTTCCCTCAACCAGATGCTGTTACAGTCTTCCAACAGGAGTAGGGTATTTCCACCAGCATGAGTAGAAACGTTACATCTGAGATGTGTTTTGAGCTGATAGACCCAGTTCTCAACTAACTCAATTAATTACGTAAATGGAGTTTATAAGGTAAGGTACGGACATTATACAGCATTTGACAAACTGATATATATATATATATATATATATATATATATATATAGCATTCAAATTGCTATAATCATTTAAGAAATCGGGTCATTATCGTAGTTTTTCCGGTGTTTTAGTTTGTAAGCATTAATAATTGAATGTGACAACACTCTGACACGACTCTGTTAGACAGGTCAATCAGTTTACAGCAGTATTCAGCTGATAACTCTTAGGAAATAAATAGTTCATTTAATCAATACACAAATACTTTCTAAAGTTTAAAAGCTTGAAAAATTTTTTTGTTTGTAAATTACACTGCATTAAGATGTTTATGAACAAGGATCCCTGGTGGTTTTTTTTGAGAAAAAGTACGATTTCATTTTTATTGCTTTATTATACCAAAGTAACTTGCCTTTGCTTCCGTAGACTCCATTGTAGAGCAGATTGTATCTACCAAATTTTCATGACTAATCATGACACCCTTGGCCAAGCCTAAAATTTTGGATTCAAGCAAAAAATTGAATCATAATAATTGACAACATACATAAAAACTGAACACAAAAGATTTCAAACTAAAAATTACGACCAATTAACTATATTTTCTGATAAAATATTCAAGAGTCAGTAAGGTAACAAAGTATTATACAGTAATCACTGTAATGTTATCTAGTTTCAATTATTGATCAACGAATTTTGGATGGTTTGCTAACAGTTTTAAAAAAAATCTAAGTTCAGGAAATTTTGACGGCAGACAGTTGTGTCTAACTTACATCTAACTGTTATCAAAAGGCTACTGCAACTTTAAGTACAAAATCGATCGGCAAAAAGATCGCATAATAGTATAGAAAACTAATAGTGGATAGAAAATAAACTATCTGAATCTTATTATTTCTCGAGATGATAAGTACTATCAATCATTTACACAGAATATTACATTGGTTGCTAGCTAAACGGATAGGACCTAAGGCAGATTAGAGTTGAATATGATAACTGTTGTGATACAAAAGAGTTAAAGTAGCTCAATTTATCCGATTCTAGCCATCCATATGGTATGTTAAAGTGAAGCCAGTGCAACCTAAATTTCATTTCATGATTTGACAAAAAATTATGGATGTGCAACCTACGTAAAAAAATACCAAATAGATACACACCTGTACTGCCGCTAGTATAACAGATGAGGCATAGATCTTTCTCAGCTGGAGGCTATAAAGCAAAGCAAAATTAAACATTATTACTATAGATGAACTGCTTTCGAGTTCATAGAGAGAACAATTTGAAAACACGAAACATTTAAAATCAGTTTCAAATGCTTTATTAAATATAGTCATATGGGAGGTCAGAAATGTTAAAACCTGTATTACCTTTGATTTCTTTATAGTGATTAGGGACCTCCAATCACCACCCAATAATTTAATATGATGAGCACGATATCAAGTCACTCAGACTAACGACCACACTGGAACTTTATCGACGGAATTCGAAAAACACCAAAAGACCAGACAAACAGCTGGTAACTACTCAATGATCGATTAAAGTATTACGATAAATTATTTTTAAAGTTAGCAGGAATCAAAGTACCTCCGTGAAAACGCGATTGGTCGACATAGGAAATAAGCTGTTTCATCGATGTGTGGAGTAAACTTAAGTTTGTTACAAAGAATGCAAAACTGTGAATTTAGTTTGATATTCCTTATGTTTAATCTTACTAAACCCACCTACTATGTCAAGTTCTACCAGTCATGTATGATGATGTGATTCAACAAAGTATGCAAAATAAGAACTTAGTCTAAATATAAGAGAAGTAGTCTCGTATCTTGTTTAATATGCACTGACTTGATTCATTTGAACGATGATAATGAAAACCAAAAGAATTAATTAATCAAGTATATCATTGAAAGCACGATGACACAAAATCAGCTTATCTTAATTGATCTGTAGAGATAATGTCCTTTCGTTCGCTGATTTATATGACTAAAATGATCAGTATCTGGTAATATATGGGTGTTATAGAAAAAGATATGATGATACGTGTTTTCATTAAGTGTGTAAACATTCCACGAAACAACTTCAAATTATGGATGGGGAAAAACTTCACGTTTTCAAGTCATATAAGTGTATCATAGTCAGTAACCACGGTTATGTTTTCGCTGACTTAGTCACTCAATTGTAGACATATTAGAATAATTTCTATTATCAAATTAATTGAAGGTATGGCCTTTGCTATGTTGTAACTTTCCTTCCATCATGACTAACTGACCTACATTTAACATGTCTGTAGCATGATGGAGTGATATTTTCATCGTAGAAAACTTTACATTTTCCATGTAAGCGAGCAAAAACGACGGGTAACGAAACACGTCGTGCATCATGGATTAAGATAGGGTGGATAGTATTTCCCGCTTCATTTTGGCTGGTGGCTAGGTACAAGGTCAAAATTACGAACAAAAGTGGAGTTTATCTTCACCTCACATTATGCACAAAGAAACACTTTTGTCTAATGGTCCATCTTTTCCTAGCAAATAGTTTTGATTAAAGCAGACACATTATCCTGAGACTTTAAGCTAATTTTAAAAATTGATTGAATACCATACCATAAATCATAAATACAATGCATAAAATTTGTAAATGGAACATAGATTTTCAACTAGAAAACATAACGACAACGACTCACAATTTTTGGTTTAAGATCACTTCTTCCAAGATCCTAAAAAAACCATACATATACATATACATATATATATATATATATATATATATATATATATATATATATATATATATATATAGAGAGAGAGAGAGAGAGAGAGAGAGAGAGAACTTACCAAACTGCTTTCTGTTCTCAGCTATATTTAGTACTCGTTAGTGATAAATGCTAATGTGAATGGAGTGAGGAAATAGAATATCCCAAGTGGTTAAACAACTAAATAGTATGAATATGCCGCCATCAAAGCTTTAACTGAACTCTCCACAATCCGTCTGAAGGAACGTGATAAGTTCCTGAATCTGGAGAATATTTGACAGACATTAAATTGATAAATCCAATCTTTTGAATTAACTAACCCTGTGTCATATGTGAACTGATATTCACGGCCTGACATATTATGACACTAGTTTATAAATGTTAAGATACTAGAGTACTTAATTTCCACTGACCAGATGATCCAGGTTTCTATACATGCTTTTGACAAAACAACTTAGACTGGACTTAAGAAGTGAATATTGGAAACAAAATATCAATTTTACTTTATTTGCATGTATATGCTGGCAACAATTTTAGGCATAAAATATAGAATCTATACCTTGGAACATGATATATATATATATATATATATATATATATATTAGTTTAAACCCTATCCACCTGTCGAAAGGCTCATCAATTTATAATCAAATAATCATATCTTATGAGTTATAGATCTAGGTGGTAAATTGTAAAATATACCCGCTTACGTAATAGTGTTCTCGGTTAGTGAAATAATGCCCAGTTTTCTCTTCTACACCAGTATGACAACGATTTGTCTTGGACGTATATATCTACACTAGGTACCATGCTAGTGTCTACTCTACACAACATCAAAAAAGCTCAGACCAAGAACACGTGACTGGCCTAACCAGAAAGTCAGTATATTCCAACTTCAACAATCGACGATAACAATAATAGCAAGGGGTAAGAAAATATAGAACATACCTAATACTTGTCAAAATATCTACTAGTCTGACTAGGTAAACAATCAAAAATTATTTTTCTCAGAAAGGGGTTTTTGTGGATAATATAGTAATTGAATAGTTGAGTTCATGATTCATTTAAAGCTAGACCACGATGAAAAACCTGGAAGCACTGGACGGTTGTTTCGTCCAAGTATGAAACTCCTCGGCGGTGCGTACCCACGATCCCGCTCACATGATTCAAACCCAGGACCTTCGATCTCGCCCGAAAGGGAGTGACTGACTTCAAGAGGTATTTCCTGGAGTTCTAGTGAGAAGCCGTGACCAGTAGAGTTCAACCGGGCCTGTTGTGAGATGGTAACTCACTGAAATCAATCGTGAATAGTGACGCAATTTCATGGATTGGTTGAAATTAAACACTAACACCCTTGGATGCCCGCTCAGTGTTCTAGAGGTTGGGCGCTCGCGCGCGAGACCGAAGGTTCTGGGTTCGGATCCCGCGAGCGAGGTCGTGGGTGTGCACCGCTGAGGAGTCCCATAATAGGACAAAACGGCCAATCAGTACATCCAGGTTTTTCATGGTGGTCTAGCTTAAATTGACTCACGAACTCAACCATTATTCTTCTTGCCCACACATCAGTTAGATTATATGAAAGAGTCTTTATTTGGTGAAAAAAAATTCATGAATTTAAATATTCAGATTTCACAATTCTGAATTTGCTAATAAAATCCCTTATTAAGCTGAGTATCCCTAAACTCCACATTACAATTTATAAATAGTAAAGTTTGATTTTCAACATAAGATCTGATAAACGAGTAAAATTATTGTTCAGATCAACTGCTTGAGAACTCAACTGTGATTCCATCAGCTTAGTAAATGTATACTGAGTAGCATCCTGTTCTCCATCGAAAATTTAAACGCATAATAAATATGTAGTCACCACATGCCTGTACACAGTTTCATTTTATAATGGTTTTTCGGTGTTATATGTTTCATATTCACTTTCGTTTCAGGTCGATTTATCGTTTTTGAATTCAAGTGATATGAATAGTCCTACTTTCAACTTCGTTGCTATGACATTCTAAAATCATTTGATAAATCACATGTGATAAGAAAACATTATTTCTTAGTATTTTAATCACGTTTTTTTTAAACCCTAAAAGCCGACACCCATAATCTATTCAAGCTGAAAAGCACAGATGATTGAATTGCTAACATATTTAAAAAATATGAATGCTGGTTGCCAAAATCGTATGAAACGCAAATATTTCTAAACAATATAAATAATATATCCTACACTGATCAGTAAACTTTAAAATTTTTTTATATTTAATCAACTTTTAGTAAAATAAAGCCCAAATATTTCATGTTCTTAAACAATCAACGAGAAATTTCATCGTTTCAGTTGCCAGACACCATGGATGTTGAGCTGGCAGAAAGAAAAATCGATGAGTAGAAAATTAACATAAAAACAACAAAACCTGATAATCCATCAGAAAGATTTGATACGATTATAGTTTCGTCTCAAATACATAAACGCATATTTCAGTTTTGCAGGACAGATCGTTGTCTCTATAGAAAGCAGCAGAAGCATAATACTTTTTTGTTTAATTCGAATAAACACAGATTTGAATAATAATTCTAAAAGATTTATTATTTCACTGAGATAATTAAGCTCATGGGTGAAAAGCGATGGAAAATTAGACTCCATTTGATGATATGTGAAACTAAATTTATAGCGTTTTTCCCGTCGTTTTAACCAATTTACCTGATACTGTTTAACTGACAACTACAGACAGAATATCAGAAGTATAACTGGTAAAGTAGTCCAACATTTTCTTCTTAAAACCTATTGTTTCCTAAACAAATCATTATCACGGAAATGTCTTTTTTTATCTAGGTATATTCTCAAAATCCAAGGCGATAACTAACTCATATCCTTTGGTTGAGTGGTTTAGGATAAGTTAAGTTCAAAGATGTTTTCCTTCACATGCTGATATCAGTTGAAAAATCGCTTAAAATGAAGAAAGGATTGAACACCTGTTCTATTTTAGTCTAAGAACCTTCAGCAATTCACATTAGCAACCCTGATAAGGGGTAGAATACACCATATAAAAATCACCAGTAGTTCACGTTTTCAACTCATTTTTAACATAGCGTAGTAATCATCCAATGCTATCGACCGATAATTGTCTGATTCCCAATTAGATAACACTAGTGAAATGACCGAAGTCGGAAAAATACAACAATGTATATTTATTCAGTAGTTTTTCAAACAATGTGGTCACCGCGAGATAATTGTTTTAGGCTTTATTGATGCTGTACGTGCGAATTGTTAGGGAGTTTTAAACTAGAATGAAATGGCCATTTCTATGATCTCTATCCAGATTATTTAAGGCAATGACAAGTACCATCCTTAAAGTATATTGACCCATGCCTTCAACTTAACCTAATTTAATTCACATATCTCAACGTCCAGTGAAGACATTTGTAAAACACTCAACACATAAACTACTTTGATACGTGATCAAAGGAACTAGTATGAGAATGAGTAATGGTGAGTAAACTTGTTCGTTAAGACCTTTCACTATACTGTAAACATGAAATTATAAGCCATACCAAATGTAATATCTCAAAGGTTACTTGTTTCAAAGTTTTCATCTTTCTTTTCACTCAGTTGCAAACAGATTAAAGTGTTAAGCAGTGAAGTCACCAAAGGATTTAAGAAAGACTGGAATAAATAATATCTAAAATACTGAGTGTCCCAGGTAAAAGATCGAAGAAAGAAGTTAAAATCACTAAATGTATTCAAGCGAGAATAACAGATGTTATTCACGTAAAAACTAGCTTAGCACGGTACAACTGTAGATAGCATAATCTGGGGAATATACATGAAGACTACTCATAATGAATAGCATATAAATGCAACCCACTTAAGAAGCAATATGTTTGAGTTTTACTTGAAAATATGTGTTTTTTGAGAACCAGCAATAGTTGAAAAATATTATTATACGTTATGTTTCTTTTTCTTGAGAAAAAATCAATATTTGAAACTTTTTCCATATACGATCAACTATTCAGTCTCCTAAAATAGGCACACTTACTGAAATAAAATTTCCTCCGTTTTAATCAACGATAGCTATACACGGTAACTGTGGTGGAAAGAGAACTTGATACATATTTGATTACTGATCCTTCCAAACAAATGCATGTATTTCATAGAATTACAGGATCATAACCTTTCAAAATCAGCACGCGGTTCCGGGTCAAGTGATTAATCAGTTAATGGGATTCTAAACTTCAAGTACCTGAGAGAAGTGAACACTAGGCTTTTAGACATGCGAATTAGGTTCATGTTGGAAAATTCAAACATAGTCTGTTGAAAATAATGCATCATTCCATAAAGCAAACAAACAACTATCAATTTAACCAACATGGTGAGTATAGTGTTGCTTGTTCGAATGCAAGTGAATGTTAGGAATCAGTCGTTGAAGATCTCATGCGCTAAAGATTAAAATAAATTAGTGCTATATTTACAACCACTGCCTACCACGACGGTTGATGTCATCTGGAGTAGTAGGCTGGAAAAAAGCTAGGGGTGGCACCAGTCCATGAAGGTACTGACGAATGGACTGAGTCATGTCAATAGGTCTAAACTACCTGGTTCAGGTCTGCGTGACTATCGTAACCAATGGTTACAGACTGAATTACATGGCTCAAAATCGTTTTCAATGGCATAGATTCATACACTCTTTATCTTCTCCGAGACTGTGAGCTTCTGAATTCCTCATGATTTTTCTTATTATACTAATTTGAGTGTATCTTTGATACCTAATCTTTTCTATTAACACTTATACTGTTACTACCTTTACTACTCTGGAATTTAGCCCGACAATTTCATTTCTCTGTGTTAATGGAGTATGGAAGATTGGACCGATGTACATGCATACCAGGTTCAGCGTTGCGTTTGACTGATTAACACACCTAATTGAACTTATCGAATAATCTTCGATACTACAATGTTAAGAATTTTGAATAAAACTCACCGAGAATTCATCAAATGAATAAATGTTCACCGAAGAACTATACTGGGCTTTTAGATCTTCAAAACTTTGATCCTGGACAGCAATGATAATGACTTTTAATGATGAATTAAAGTTCTCTAGGATCTTGATAGCTAAATCTGCTGAATGGCACATTAATATGACGAGCCCAGCTAGAATTGTTGAGAAAATAAGAAAAATCTTTATTTATTATGTAAAGAATAGCTAGTCTAAACATCTGTTACTGAAAGAATTATCAACTCTGGAGCTAGCAGTACTAGCTAGGAAGTTATTTCGCAAAAACTAAGTGTTATTGAATGTTTGTGCAGTCACCATCGATAAACAATAATGGCAGTATTTTTATTGGTGAATCATCAACTTTTGTAGAGTTGTGGTTCAAAAGCTCTAAACATTTAACTTTCGATTGCTTGATGACAGGTTCAAGCCTACTGTTGTTTACTTTATGTTGAGTAATAGGGTTTTATTACGACTTGGAGTATTTTCCAAAATTAAGATTACAAATTAAGTGCAGTTTTTCTATTCAGGCTGTGTTGTATTGTATGTATATATCCCATATTTCATCTTTCACAACTTTATATTGGTACAACAGCTTTAAACAAATGTCACTACATTTACCTTTGATTAAATCATACAATAGTTGTTTTAAACATATTAAAAAAACTTTACACAATTTTTATTTAGGTAATATAAAATAATGTATGTTCTAGATCATATTAAACAACAGTAAGCTAAAATAAGATTTCTTGAGGTACAACACAAGTATATTAAAAAATTACTTTGTTTAAGAATATGTTGCATAGCTGGATCACCCAAAGTAGCATACAGAGGGACAACAGTGTACGAGTAACAAAAACAGGCATATTGTGTAATAAACCACTAAAATGAAATAGAGATAATAAGTCATGGTGGGAATTAAATGTTTATGATTAATATTAACGAAGGTTCTTTATACATGCATCAGTATAGCAGAGACTAACTTTATGAATTGAAACACATATTCGTATAAAAAAGTATTTATGTAGAAAAGAAAATGATTATGTTGACAGACAAACTCCAGTTGCTTCTGAATAATCTTATCAAAATGTGCAAACACGACAATATCCCAGACTAGCATCTATGAACTATAGTAACTAGTGTCTCAGGTTTGTTCTCACCCCTAATTTAATTTTAACTTCTACTGGAACATAGAGAAAATCTACAATCTAATATAATAGAACGGAATTATTCAACTCAACTTTGGTTATCATCTTCTTATAACATCGCAAACACTAGATCCGGTATATTTCCACTTTATAAACATTTGTGCATCTCCAACAAATACGGGAGCCAGAATGCATTTAAACAAATAAATTTCCCTAGCCTAAATTTTTTTGTGAAATATCTTGGTGGAGTTTTGTTCTCTGAGCTGGATGGTTTGGTCGTGGAGCTTTCATCGTCCTTCTGAACGACATCATCAGCACAAACTTCAAATAGAATATTTGGTCCAAAATAGGACGACACACGAGGGCCTGGATTCCACTGCTAGCCACCATCCTTGCTAATAATTAGATGTATGGTGTTTATCTACATTTGATTGTGTCCACATCTACGAGCTAAGATATTTACTCTAATAAATTAACTCACAATCACAATAATAGCAACGAATGCTGAAATTGAAAAATATTTTGAGTACATACAAGTCACAGAGCTTCAATAAACTTGAAAGGTTTTCATCAATGACTGTCTTAAGTAGGAAAAAATACTGAGAAACAGTAAGTTTATCTCAACGTGGAACTAGTCAGCGCACATTCATGGTTTCAAGTGATATCGAATATAGGACCTTTAGTTCACATAGAGCTTCATTTGTTTTAACTACCGAATAGTCCGCGTTTTTTATCTTTATTAACGCAAAAACTCCAGACAAAATACCTAAAGTATCTAATACTATTCTCCAAACCAATTTACGAAGCTTATGGTCCAAGGATGCATATAAGTTAAGCAATTTGGATATTTGTTTCTCGCAAACTAAAATATATGTAGCTAAGATGGGCAACAAAGGAAAACTAGGACTATTATATTGCATTTTGGGAATCATATGGTTTATTAAAACTATAAAGAAACGTCTCAACCCAAAGAATAAATACATATGAAGCCAGTGCAAGAACAACTATTCTTTAAGAATGCGCAAAGTGTACCTTGGATTCCAGGTTCGGGCTTGCCTTGTTACACACTTTGACCATTTCCCCAATGTATGTCACATCCACCTCCAACGTCTTTTCCTAATTTCCTCTTCAGCCCGAAGCTGGTTTGTTCTCTCCAACAGTAGGCTGTTGCTGATGGTATCCGGTCAACGGACAAATGTTTTGAGTTCCACATGTTCTTCAACTGTAGGAATGCTGCCCTTGATTTTCTAATCCTCGCCCTTAAGTTGGCATCCGACCCTCCTTGTTCGTCGATGATGCTTCTCAGTTGAGTGAAAGATCCCACTTCTCCCAGAACTTCTCCATCAAATGTGATTGGTTTGTTGTACTTCGTGTCGTATTTCAGGATCTTGCTTTTTCCCTTGTGTATGTTGAGGCCTACTGATGCAGAGACTGCTGCTACACTAGTTGTCTTTATCTATATTTGTTCGTGTATATGGGATAGAAGAGATGAGTCACCTGAGAAGTTCAAATCGTCCAGTTGCATCCAAGCTATCCATTTCATTCTGCGCATCCCCTCAGATGTCGAGTTCTTCATAATCCAGCCAACCACCGAAAAAAAAGAAAGGTGAAGAGTGAGCAGCCTTTTCTGACTCCGATCCTCACTTCGAATGAGTCTGTCAACTGTCCTCCATGCACCACTTTGCACTGTAGTCCGTAGTATGAATTCTGGATTATGTTGCCGATCTTTTCGAGTACACCAGTGTTGAAGAAGGCTCCATAATGTTCACCTATCCACGCTATTAAATGCTTTCTCATAGTCAAGGAACTTGGTGTATAGTGACGAGTTCCATTCATTTAATTGTTAAACGATGATCCGTAGTGTCTCCATTTTGTCTGTGTACGACCGATCCTTACGGAACCCATCCTGTTGATCTGGAAGTTGGACATCCACTGGATCTTTTATTCGATTCAACAACACTGTTAAAAACCTCCTCTGGTACTGATAGTAGTGTGATGCCTATGTAGTTAGTTCTCACATTTGCTCAGATCTCCTTTCTTTAGTTTCTCGATGAGGTATCCTTCTTTCCAGTCTGCCGGTATGTGTTCTCCCAAATATTCGTGAATAGAAGATGGAGTACGTTTGCAGTTGCTTCTATGTCTGAATTCAGTACTTCAGCTGGTATGTTGTCTGGTCCGGCTGATTTCCCACTTTCAACTTGTCTGATGATCGTCTTGATTTCATCGATCATCGGTGGAGTGGCATTTATATGAAAATCTGTAGGTACTGCTTTGACTTCTGGTGGATTCAGTTTGGCTGATTTATTCAAGAGTTCTTCAAAGTGCTATACCCATCTGCTCCTTTGTTCTTGAATCTCAATGGTCGGAATCCCTTTGTCCTTGACTAGTCTCTCTGGTTTACTATATTTCCTTGCTAGTTTCTTCGTTGCACCACATAGCTGTCTCGTATTTTCCTCTCTCGCAGCTTTTCCACTGTCGCTGCTATCGTCCCATGATATTTTCATATCCTAATAATCACCTCCTTTGTTCTGGAGAATGTGCTGACGATTCTGGATCCATGAGATTCCCATTCAACAAGTGTTTTTCGTGATTCTTTGGATAGCATTAGAGCAACTCCTTGTGTGTGCGAAGCATTTTTTTGCTTCATGACCAGAGTACAACAGCACCTCTACTGAGGCTAATCTTTTCTGTTTAGCTTGTGTCCAATGGGTTTCACTTATTTCGAGCACCGCTAACTTGTTTCTCCCCATTTCCACAGCTGTTTGACTGGTCCTTCCGGTCTACCACATTGTCCGAACATTCCATCTATCTGTTAATCGTTGCTCTGGCTGTTAGAAAGGACATCAACTTGTTGACTTCCGAAGAATATCGGCTTTCACCATGAGGCGTCATAATCCTTCTAAACGAAGATCCTTAAACTCCCAGGGTAGAGTTTAAATGGTTTGATTTTTTCATTCTGGTTAGCGTTTTTTTTAGCAAGGTTGTTTTCCACGGGTTGGGGTGCTGACCCCATATCAAGTCCTCCTCCTTTACCCTGGTTTGAGACCGGCAGTAGCTCTAGAGTAGCTACAAACATAATCTAGAATATATATACGAGCTACTGAAAAATCTGTTAGAAAGTTACATTATTATTAGGCAAGAGAATGAACTACTGACCAAAGTTTTCGTTCATCTGGGGTAGTAAATACGTAATCTGATGGAGAAAAACTGAAAGAGAATAAAGTCTTTAGGAATTAATTAAGTGGATGTAAATAGATGTCTAGCATATTCTTCAATCGTGATTTTCACCAAAGAGTACTTGGTACATGGACATAACTTATGAAAGGTAAATTACTAAGATCTGAGACCCTATATCATGATATTAATGGTGAACCATATACTGTTGGGTTATTAAAGTTACTGACAGACACTAATTAGCTTGGAATTGTTACGGCGATTCTTACTCACCGAAACCCATTAAGTCTACTTTCTGTGTAACTGTTATAACGCTCGGTCTTCCACTTCTGCACGAATGGGGCGTTAATTTGTTTTAGACAAATATTTACAATAGATACCCTCCCAGTGTCTATTCTAGAGGACTTCAACACAACTCAGCTCAAGAACACGTGATTAGCCTGACCACAACGTAAATATATTCCCACACCAAACTCATCTAACGCCTGTCAGACTATTCACAAGTCTGACCAAGTAAACAACCAATCATTATCATTCTCGCGCACACATCAATAACCCAGATTTAAAACAACAGTACAAAACCGATTCGAAACGAAAATTGCTTAAATTACGATAATTTGCACACCTGTGGTGAATTTCGACCGTAAACACCTACAAACCTTTCTGACTCTGGATACTTTTTCATAATTCCAACAAGCGCTGATCCAAAAGCCTGAATTTTCTCATCAACCTTGAAAAGGTATAAAGTATTAGTTGGTATTTCAAGAAACTTCTTGATAAGTGATCCATGAATATGGCTCATTTGTAGTATATCTGCTACCTAAACACTTTTTTGAACCTGAAGACGAAAAGTGTAACAGACATCATTACTAGTTTACAAGCAAAAGTAGTTTATCTAAAAAATTCTTGAACATACATGGATATCAGCATTTTAAAATTCCCATAGAATATTCAAAAATAAAGAATATTTGAGCAAGATTATAACTTTTCTGCAGAGTTGGAACCATCGAGACCAACTTCGAGAGAGTAACCTATGTATCAAAAAGAGATTGAGCCTCTGTGTTTACCCTGGTCCACAAGGGGGTCACTATATGCACGAACTAGATATCATAAACCCCTTATTCAATCTCCACTAATTCCTTTTGTGTTTATACCTACCCTGCCTTCTTTTTAGTCTACACATTCATCTAACCCAATTCACTATTATTTTAATTACCTTGACAGAATCCCTCTTAATAGATATTATATTCACATGACATTCTTATAATTATCTCCATTAAGAAGACGAAGTTCTCCAATAATCCATTTTATTCACACCATTTATTTTATTATATCAATTGTAACATAACACTTTATGACGAATCATTCTAACATTTGATAAATGATCTTTCTAACTTAAAAATGACACAATTTTGAAGTATTTATACCGTAACAGATGCAAGAGTTCGGGATTTTTAGCAAATAATCCTGTTTAATTCACTACCATACCTTATTTTGGAAATTTATAAAATAATAGATGAAGTTATTGAAAACAATTGTTCAATAATATATTCTGTGTTTTGAATATATGGATGTATACGGAAAGTGGTAAAATAAGACTACGGGGTGGGGGAAAGCAAAATTATACAAATTGATGTAATTCGAGCAACACAAATATAAGCGAACAACATTGTTCTCAATTAGATTGTCATCCGCGTTTAATATACATGAATATGTATATGAAAATATTAAACCAATCAATACAAAATTATAAACCAACGACTACAATGACATAGATTACATAATAGTTGAAGTCGATTTAATTGATCAACTTTCCTTCACCATTGGATTTGCTAGGACTCTTGTATGAACAAACGATTATCAAAATCTCCTGACCTTCCACTACGCGTTTTTTTATCAGCCTACCTACGTAATTCAACAGTAGTATATTATTATTTAGTATAACAGCTGATAAATCATTCAAGTTAAATCCTCCCAACTACTCTTATTAGAAAATGTGTCATGTCTATAAAGCAAATGTTAGAATTCCATTTAACAAACTCACTATTTTTATTCCCATTTTATGTTATAACATAACGGTAAACACTTTTAGAAATTTAAGGAGAGTAGTTTATGTTATATCCTAGCGAAGATGAAATGATGGTAACTTCTGAGAGCTATTAATGGACTAATATTATACATACATTCTTAACATATGTCGTTTTCACACTTACATCACTAGTAGTCCTTTGTAACGAACAATGGCTGAATGGAAAACGAGCTCAACTTTAAACTGAAATGTCTCAACTTCAAATGACACTCTATCTACTTTGATGTGGGCAAAATAGTAGCATCACTAATCCTTACGACAGCAATAAGGCTTGACAGTGAGTACACACTTGTGCTTAGCAAATGAGTTACACAATTGATTAAATGAATTTCCCGGATTATTCGTTGTTCAGTTAGCTAATACTTTCACAGAGGGTTGAGAAATGAGTACTATCCAGTGATTGTTGACACTGAAACATGTACCAATATTTTCGGACTAACTGATTATACATAAATTAACTGATACATATCAGTCGTAGTCAAGAGAAGTTGAAATGTAACTTATTTGGTATCGATTCTAAAAAGAAACAACTTACGGGATAAAGATAGCCCTCTATGGAATACGTCCATCATTGTTTTGACTTCCGAATATTCATTATTGGTCAAAACCATGCTACTCTGGCGTGCGCCAGTCTACAGGCAGAGAAAACGAAATCTAACTTTAGTAGACCAAAATCAAAAGAAGCAGAAACATAAAAATTAAACAGAACTAAACAGATGTTACCAAAAGCACTACAATTTATGCACCAACAAATTGTTTACCCTAATTGTGTTATCAAAAAACTGATCGGTATTAAACCACGGAAAAACATTGATTAGTTCGTTAAAAAGTTCAACATATTTATCTGAAAAATGTTGTGCTTTTCTTGTTCCATTTTTAATGCTCTTTAGTAACGGTTAGAAATTAACTGAACTTCAGGAGTCGAAAATATCTAATCACATTACTTTGCCCACAATTTACTGGAATTCAAAATGGAGTTCTAAAAATGAATTAAAGCATAAAAACAACACAACTCTTATTTATAAATAAGTCGAATTTCTAAACTTTAACTAATACTTTCATTAACGTTATTAAAATATCTGTTTGAATGTCAGAGATACTTATGGAATTTTGGGAAATTATACTATTGATTTTGTGCATACATCTAATTAATGCCCGAAAACATTTTACATAAGACTATGCTCATGGAATTCTTCCTACATTAATTTATTCATTATCCAGTAATCGAATCTTAAATGTCCATATTATGAAACTGATAAATTATTTAGAAACGATACAAGTTGTTCGGACAAAAGTCCATTCAAGTCTCCTTAGTATTTAAGCAGTGTAAAGACGCAGGAAATTTTTTCGACGTATTAGTACTTTTTAGTACATATATACTGCCAATATTTCCTGCCCTTAGAGGAAGTACATCATACTATTATTGAATTGGCACTTCAGAAAACATCACACATTTTGAACAGTGAGATGATTATCGATTTCGTGTTATTAGTATACTGATTGTAAGTTAGTATGTTTTGAACGACATTAAGATAACTAGCTATCATGATGTATTATAAAACGTTTATGACGGGGCGATAATAAATACAAGCAAATTCGAGGAAATTTGTTTTACGATGCTGCTCAAAAACATAAGAAAAAATTATTTCTCATAACTTTAAAGAGTTCTACATAATTACTGCTCTTAGTAAAAATAGTATAAAAGCATTTAATTGCGACTAATGACTAAATACATTTTTATGCACAGCAAACACTAATTTACCTTCGGATCAGCAATCACAGACTGTTGATTTAAATAGCTACTGAAAAAAGAACCGTTCGGATTTGGTTCATGTATTTTCATATATATATCAGGGTAATTTGGCTTTTCATCTAAAAACAAAATAAAATACACCATACTTTAATTTTAATGAAGTTAGAAAACAACAAAAAAGCTTGTGAAACAAGGTTTATGTAATAGGACAAGCGACATAATATATAGCAGAGAATATTTCGGAAAGCTCTAAATAATTAGTTGAATAGAGAAACGAACATATTTTTTAGAGGGTGACGAAGGAAAGAAAAGGGTTTGCTGAGCGGTGTTTTTTTCTGAAGATCTTGTCTAATACTGTAAGAGAAATTAGTAAGGAAGAAACAGGAGACAGAACAACAATGAAAATGTGAAATTATAAATAAATTGAACGGGTTTATTACAGTACTGAGATAATAAAATAATATTGATGATAAAATAATATGATCGTGATAAAAAAAACTTCAGTAATATTTTAATGAGTAGAGAACTGAACTTCTGGTATTTTGCGACCATTTTACTCTATAAAGAAGTAGCCTATATTAAGAAGTGAAAAGTAAGAAATCCTATTTATTAAGCTGTTACAAGTGCATTGTCATTATTATAAAGAAATAAGTTTTATGAAAGCGGATGAAATTGTGAGACAATTTTACTTAATAACAAATGGCAAAGATATGCTTTGTGTCTAACATTGATTTGATTCACAGAGTTCTCAAATCAAACTATATACTTTTCATGTTTGAAGTTGGTACTTAATAAGAGCAAATGATTGTATGATTGAAGATGATAACAGTCACTGGATAACTAGGCCTGGACGCTAAATATTCGACCTGTGTTTTAGCTTGACAGAGCCTGTTTACGCGCGTTTAAGAATCACTTCCAATCATTATTTCTGAATCTTAGTACCCAACTATTAGTTTGTCGTTATCTACATGATAATATAATTTTCACTGAGGATTTTGAAAAATAAACTCAATTAATAGTAGTGGTTACATTATCATAACTGTACAGCCCAAAAGACAACAGCTTGAAGTCGGTTATAAAAGATGGTATATAAGTACTTATTTGCTCAAGTTAAGCTCCATGCGTCCCTAATCATATCAAACACAGGAAAAGGGTACTTTTAAACTTTCTTGTGATCTACGGACAGACGTCATCCTTAAACCTCAAATTTATCTGTTCTAGTCCTACTATTAGCTAACCGACCTATCTGCCAAAACAGACCTCCGAGGCATGAGTGCTTTGCTGAAGTCGTTTCCATTGAATAATGATAATCAAGCTTGACCACTATATCAAGGTAAAAGTTACAGTCACGTACTGTATTTTCAGAAGTGAGGTGGCAAAAATTAAAACGAACGAGTGATAATGGATCTTTTTAATCAGTTATTACCTACTTAAATAAAGCAACAGAAACTATTCAACATATCGTACTAATTTTCCCTGATTCGTCACCAGTAATTTTAACAGATCCATTGACCTTTACCTTAAATTTAGCTATCTGTTGACGACTGACAGCGAAGTTAGTATAACCTTAAATATATTTGACGTGGAAATAAGCCACGAGTATTTGGGATTTTAAAGCCCAAAATTTTCGGAGAACTTTTATCCCTCAAACTAAATCGAATATTTCTTTAACGTCTGTCTTCCCAACTTTGACGAGATAAGAATAAAAAGTAAGTTATTTTAATACAATACTTTGTTTTTCCATTATATAAACACAACCTATCTAAATTCCACAGTAGATACATGAACAGACCCTCACACACCTTAATAGGGGAACGATCACAATAGGATTCTAAAACTGTCAGAACTGAGTTTGTTATGTGCTGACAAGGATTCGAGTTCGACGAAAACCGTAAGTTGTATCGGCATCTTAATCAGATAAAAATATGTAGCACCTGGGAAATGATTCACGTTAGACATACAATCGTGGCTGACGGTCAATGTATAAAAGCCCATGTTTTAAAAAGGATAGTGATCATCAAATTGTGAACTAACTTTGCCTTTTTAGTAGCACTGGAGATCCTGGTAATGGATAAAGAGAATTGTGTTAGTGAACTTGCATAAAGCGCAATAAAACAGACGACTCCAAAACGGAACTTAAATAAATCACATAAACGATGAACCGCCTAACAACAGCGGACCACTCGAATATAAATGTCATCAACTCGAATTCATTATACCAACGTTCCAGTTGAAGGGGGTGGAAATTATTGAAGGGGCAAAGGAAGGAAGAATGGCATCCACAAACACCTCGTCACTCCAAGTTGATAAGAACGCCTTAGGAGATTGCCGTTCTGAGTAACAGGATATTGAGTGACAGAATTCTTTGATAGTACCCAGTCGTAACACTATAAACCAATTTAGAGCGGAGTAAATACTCAAACTGCCTCCAAGGCTACTACTGTAAGCAGTTCGGAGAAATAAGATAACCCCAATCCAAAGATCAGACATTCCTATTATTAACATACTGCCAAATATCTCATATAGTTTATATCAAAAAGCAAACATAAATAAGTAAGAAGAAAGATGAGAATATTGGTCCATGACCATGTAGATTTCTTAAGTTAATTTTAGGATCGAAGGAAAAATGTTTTTCTCTTTATTATTTGGAACCCATGGATACCGATGCAACTGGACACCAACGGCGTAAAGATGGACCAGATTGATACAAGCCGCTTTGGCTTTCACTACATATTGGTTGATCTCATCACTCACACCATCTACAGCACACACAACTAACCAGATACGTAAATTTAACAACCACTCTTAACAGTTCATTACAAAAAGACAATTTCATGTACAGGTTCCAGAAATCTGTTAACTAATGCTCGAGAGGAAAATAATATCAACACTTGGATAAGGCCTGATAACACAAAAAGATAGAGTCAAAAGAAATACAGCTCTAACTGAAGTAAAAGCACAGAGGAGAAAGTGAAAAAAATCGACCGATGGGTTTTCCAGGAGTAAGGTCTCGGAAAAGAATGTTGATAAAGCCTATGTATATAAGTCGTTCTCTTTAGGGGTTTTGTATAGCAACATTCGTAGTCTAGGAAATAAGTCTCATAGACAGAAGGAGGACGAATTAAAACCATTTATCATAGCTGTGACGAAAAATTTGTTAGTACATGAACTTGACATTACTATGAAATTATTGGGAATAGGTGATGTAGAGATTGGGGTTCTAATAAGCATAAAGGACAGCACACAAATAAAATTCTTAGTTTGTGAAACCCATGAGAGCGTGACTTGAAAAGTAATTAGTTGTGAAATTTAGAAGATTGTACATCTATGTCAAGTGTTATCTATTGTGGCTTAATCTGCTCGATTGATTAATTCATTTTAAAATACAATAAACACAATAAAAGTAACCAGTGCCTGGGAGCAGTAAATTATAATGCTTGCAATGTAAATTATAAATATCTGTTCATTAGTGGATTTGATAATATATCCCATAGTTAGCTTCTTGTGAACATTAGATCATGGTTTAGTACTACATGTATTCAGATCCACAGGTGGTGGTTTAAATCAAGGACCTTATTCGATAGACTTAGTACTCATAAACGGAACTGGAGATGTTACCTGTTTATGTATTTTACCATCACTATCTAACAGTGATTATGCGGTGTTGTCGCTGAGTTTTAGAGACTATGACAGTATATAATCAAGTTCAACTTTACCCAAATGTGTGGTGGGCAAACATTTCAAAGACTAGGGAGTGTTCTGAAGCAACCAACTGGTCAGTTGGCGTCAACTCAAGAAATGAAACATAGCATAATTTTAAAAGTACATTTAGCTTTGTAAACCTTCCCTCGAAACTATCGATAACCAACATAAACCTACCGGCTGTCCGCCACGGAGGTTAGGAAACCCAGTAAGGTCTTTAATAATGCCTCTATTTCTGTGTTTTGTAATAAAACTGGAAAGCTTTGACATTGATAGAGAGTTTGAGATTGCACTAATGATAGCAGAAAATGAGTGAGGTGCTTTAATATAGTGAGGATCTGTTAAGAGTGAAATTCTCCAAGGGATAATTCTGAGCCCTTTTTTTATTTAATCCACATAAATGATTAATTAGTTTGATTGTGAATGAAATCAAAGTATGGATACCTATAAAAAATAAGGTTGATAAGATTATAGAAAAATCTGAATGCTATAGTTAAGTGTACATAGAGGCTGGCTTCAGAAGTCACTTATAGCAAGAGTGTAGTAATGAAAATCAGTCAGTGAAAAATAACGCGACTACATGAAAAAATGAAATGCCTTTACTTAGGCTTGTCGATTACAAAAATTTAGAAATCATAGTATGTAGTGACCTAAGAACCACGGGTAACTATTAGCCGGGCTTTAAAAGATTACTAAGGACTGACTGTAATTCATAGAGCCGATCTTAACTTGAATGAAGATAGAATTTAGATGTCAAACTCGACTAATGTGATACCAAAACTTCTATGGGAACTCCTCTAGTGTCACAGATGTGTGGTTAGCAATTCCACCTCATAAAAAAAGCACGACCGTATAATCGTTAATCAGAATAAACCAATTAAACTCTGCCCTAGGAGTTGAAAAATCTCATATTTATTTATTTATTTATTTATTTGAACACATAAATATTGGTACAAGAGTGCGCCAATATATATGCGCCACACAAAACAATGGGAATTCGAAGAGAAGTAGAAAGAAAAAAAAAACTAAGGAACGCAAAAGAAAGAGAGAGTAATGACGAAGAGGTACAATCAGAAGAAATCTTTCAGTTAAGGAAGATACAACCACTTTTTATGAAGAAAGTAAAAGAAGGTTACAGCAGGATCGCCACTGGCTTCTATTCTGAGCCATATCTGATAACGTCTCTAGCCACTGTGTAGCACCATCTCTCGGACCCCAACCAGGGAGTCGTGAAGGACCAACACAAGCCAGTCCTTTGCAGCTTTCTTTCATGCCAGGACACCATGTCATGCACTGACCACCTCTCCGCTTCTTCCAACCAGTCCCAGAGTCGGCAAATAATGCACGACGTGGAATTCTCTAGGACGACATTCGGAGAACATGTCCAAGCCACCGAAGTCGGTGTTTCAAGATGGTGACACCAATTGAGTTATCATCTCTGTGCCCGAACACACGATGCCGAACCTCTGCATTACTGACATGGTGTTGCCACTGAATGTCAGCAATCCTTCGGAGACAGCGATGATCAAACACAGAGAGTCGTCTAACGTCCTCAACTCGGAGAGGCCAGGTTTCACAAGCATAGAGCAAAACTGCTCTCACCGACGCGTTGTAGATCCGGCCTTTTACAGCCAGACTAACATCACGAAGGCGCCAAAGGTGGCCCAGATTGGCATAAGCCGCTCTGGCTTTCACTATTCGTGCATTGATCTCATCACTCACACCCCCACCAGCACTTATGCAGCTACCCAGATACACGAACTTCTCAACTACGTCTATCTGCACACCGTCCAGGGTGAGTACAGGATTAGAATCCTGCCAGTCTTGTAGAAGTACTTTGCACTTCGAAGGTGCAAAGCACATACCATACCTACGGACATTGATTGCCAACTGATTAAGTGCGGATTGCATGCCTTGGGCATTATCGCACAGTAAGACAATATCGTCCGCATACTCAAGGTCGAGAAGTCTTTCTCCAGGCAACAGATCCACACCACCATTACTTACATTCATCAGAGCTGTTTCCAGAATGTCATCGATGGCAAAGTTGAAGAGGAATGGTGAGATTGGGCAACCCTGCCTAACCCCACTGATCGAATGGAACAATGGAGAGAGGTGGTTGTATGCCCTCACTCTGCCTGAGGTGTTTTTATACAGGGCTTTTAGGATGTTAATAAACTTCTCAGGCACACCCTTCTTCAATAGACAATCCCAGAGAACAGTCCTATCCAACGAATCGAAGGCAGCCCTGATGTCAAGAAACACTACGATTGTTGGCCTTTGAAAAGTATGGCGGTGTTCTAACATTTGGCGGAGGGTGAAGATATGATCAATACATCCTCGACCAGAACGAAACCCAGCCTGCTCCTCGCGAGTCAATCTTTCTCGGGTTTTGAACAACCTACGAAGAATGACGGAAGCCAATAGCTTGGACGCAATCGGAAGTAAACTTATCCCCCGATAGTTGTTACAAGAACGACGTGAACCCTTTTTAAAGATAGGGACAACTATCGACTCATTCCATGACGTTGGTACACTCTCTAGTTCCCAAACCTTTGTAAACAACGTCGTCAATTCCTTAGTCAAAAAGTCACCACCATCTTTAAAAAGAGCCGGAGGTAAGTCATCTGGGCCAGGTGATTTGTAACGCTTCAAGAGTTGGAGTTCCTTGCGGACTTCCTCCTCATTTGGTGGATCAGTCGTCACCGGCCATGGAGGGCAGGACAGTCTGACCGATGTTGCCGGAGCAGCAGGCCAGTTGAACTGCCCTTCGAAAAATTCTGCCCATCGTCCAAGACGTCGATGGATGTTAGTGATTGGCATCCCATCACTCTCGCAGATTGTTTCACTCACACCAGACTTCTTGCTGCCAGTGGCTCGGATGAGTTGGAAGAGCTTCCGGTAGTTACCAGATGCAGCTGCTGCTTCCAGCTCATTAGCACGCATCGACCACCAGGCTTCTCGGTCCTTACGCAAGCTTTGCCCGATTTCCTTACGTAAAATCCTTCGTTTATGGTCAAACTCACGGTTACCCGGAGTAGACCGACGGGCTTCAATGAGTTGTAAGGAACCAGAAGAAACCCAGTGCTTAAAAGCGGGACGTTTCGCAAACCCACAACTGACTGTTCCCGCCATTTTCATGGCGTCATGCAATTGCAACCAATGCTCATCTATACTTTTCGGTGGAGTGGTAGCTAGCCTAGAAGCTAGCTCGGTTCGATACTTATTTGCAACAGAAGTTGCAGCCAGCTTGCTAACATCAATCCGTTGATGGCGTTCACTTCGTTGTCCACTGAAAAGTAAGGCAAGATTGGCGCAGACCAAGGCATGGTCAGAGTCCAGATAGGTACTCCAAAAGGAGCGGCAGTCTTGTACACAACCACGCCAGCGGTAGCTGATCGCGATGTGATCAATCTGAGTCCAGGCTTGAGATGCAGAGGGAGGACGCCAGGTGGCACATCGGCGATGACTGTGCCGAAAGTTAGTGCTAGCCAGAAACAGGTTGTGGTCTGTGCAAAGTTGCAGTAGACGGTCCCCGTTATCTGACCTGCGACCAACGAGTCCCCATCGGCCACCTAAACGACTCTCTTCTGTGCCTAGACGCCCGACCTGAGCATTCAAGTCTCCGGCTAGTACTACAATATCTGTCGAACGCACTTTCTGGAGAAGAACTGATAACTGGTGGTAAAACTCATCCTTGATTGCATCCGGGCTGCAATCTGTCGGGGCATAGGCGGAGATGACGAAAAGACATCGTTTCTCACGCCGATTTCTTCTCACTTTGATGGAACTTTCTAATCTAACAGCACATAACCGACTGTTAATGGGGATCCAATCGACTAGTGCTGCCTCAGCTCTAGCGCTTAGTGCGACACCAACGCCAGCAAGACCAGACGAAGATGCCACAGGGTCCCCGGATAAGCGCACGTAAAACAAGCTTTTCGAAGCGACAGATGGAGATCGAATTTGTAGTACTTCGCCAGAGTCTTGAATACGGGTCTCGGATAGACAACACACGTCGATATTAAGACTTTCCAAAGACATAGCCAGCCCTATCTGTTGTCCGACCTGCATAAATGTGCAAACGTTGAAGGCAGCCAGTTTGAATGGTGCACGTGGTTTCAGAAAATCTGCTTCAGTCCTCGTATTCGGTGGTAACATACAATTTTCAACCGGGCAGTGACACGAGAACGTTTAGATACAGTCGGAATTCCACCAAAGACGAGCCGCTGTATAAGTATAAAAGAAGGTGAATAATGTGGAAAATAATAATAATAATAATAATAATAATAATAATAATAATAACCATAATGACAATAATAGTAGTAATAATAATATTAGTATTAATAATGACAATAATTGTAGTGATCATAATTTGAATCAATTGATTGTTTTTCAAAGCGACAAAGGTAATTTCCATGGACATAGAGTTCGTCATTTGTGTGTGGGCTGTGATACTGCCCTGGTGAAAGTCGAAAATCTGCAAATACCACGAAGCCGGTACTTTTTTTTAAACCACAATAAACATACAAACATGAAACGTCCGAACACTGTGAGATTAGGAGTAGTCATTAAAAGGGCCACAAAAATGAAAACGGACGACTTGACCGTGTTCAGGATAAGTAATATTCATTGGACACAAGCTAAACAGAAAAGATTAGCTTCAGGAGAGATGTGGAATTCCGATCATTAAGAAGAAAATGCCCTATACACAAAGAGTTGTACTGATGGTTTCCCAGAAAGCACAAGGAGCACTTACATGAAGAGCTCATATCTTGAACGAAGATATGTTCGGGAGATTAAAATTATCGTATGTTAGACTGCACTTAGAATATGACATTCAATGAGAGTTTTCCATATTAACGTCGGATATACTAACACGAATAAAACGGAGAGGAACTAATATGCTGACACGTTTTTCTGATCCCCCTATAGAAACAGTGAAGCGTGACTGAGTTCTAGACAAACTAAGCGTTGGGTTGAACAATTTCTACGTTAGACAACACACCACTGGTCGTTAGTCTGTCGAACATCGTCAAGGTTAAAAGTGACTAATGCATACTGATCAACTCTACATCAAGGACTGACCCATGAGGCGGTGATTGCATGTTCCTCCAATCTATTCTTATTGATACATTTCTTCACGTTTATTCTATACAGTTAATAAAGCAGCCGCAGTATCTGGATATCACGAAAATGTAATCCACGTTTTTTATTTATTTAAACACATAAACATTGGTACAAGGACGCAGCAAATAGATATTTGCTACATAAATCATCCTATGTGTGTGAGAGCTGGAATACTGTTCGGGTGCCCAATCCGAAGCAGGCAATGTACTTAGAGGGGCCACATCCAGAGTCCTCGATCTGAGGGTCTGAACCACAAGGCAGTGCAGCAACGTAAGGAGATGCAGTCCCATGGTAGATGGTGACCAACAATTGCTTCATACGCAATTTGTTCCCTCAGGATACTGGAGTCCATGTGCACCATTGATTTGGAATCAGGGTTTTCCCACCCTCCTGAGTGAACCCTCCGTGTCCACCAACCCACCTAAAGCGTCTGACACTCACTTTTGGCCATTTCAGTTTCGTAAACCACATCTTTACCGTGAGAAAACAGTGACTACGACTTCCCACGCAGTGGTTGTATACGCGTAGCCATATAGGAGTATTTCCAGAGGGAAAGCTGACTCTCCTCACCCTCAGCCGTACTAATGGATTTGCGGACAATCCACATTCGGCACTAGCTGCAAGATAATTTTGACGTAAGCTGTGTTACACCATTCCCACCCAACCCGAAAAGACAATGACCACTAACATAGATCACCGGGATTAGTGAACCTCGACGAGATCTGATATACTGTTTGTCCCAAGTCGTAGCACTTTATAACTTTCTTTACATACTGTAAAACTACTTTTGTGTTCCAACTTTTTCTTATATTTATAAATTTTATTCCTAGTATGTTGGATTACAAACCGAACTTTTCAAAAACAAAAACTAATGACTCCCAGTTTGCAAATCAAGCCATATTGCCTTGACAATATCTATTCAGTTTCCAACTTTGTAATTTATATTTATCCCGAGGTCAGGATTTAGTCTCAACTCGTCAGTCAGGAAAACTAAATAGCCTGAGTGAACTTTGGGAAGAATCTAGGACAGATAAAAATCTAGATTTTAAACTGTATTTGTATTTTGCGAAATTTTCGGAAAGATTATTATGGATTGTCCTGAAATTTACTCTAAATTGTTCGATTTCACCTCAAACGTACCAGCGCATGATATCAGATACTTGATGTCCTCTTTGCTGGAAACACCTGAAACTTGAATCGTTGTTCGTGTTCAAATACAAGTGATACCGAAGCAAAAATGATTCCTCAAATACATTCATGATATTAATTTTTCAGTCGTATGCGCCAGATCAGAAGCTGAATGAGATCTACAGCGGACTCTCTGGATTCCAAAACTAAGTTTTTTACGAACGATACATCCCACAAAGTCGCACCCAAAGAGTGTACTGAACAAAAATACGCAACCTCAACACTGTCAACAAGAATTAATAAAAGGACGGCCAATTTTTTATATACAGGATATTTTCAATCAATCCTGCTTGTCACACAATACACATATAAGTGCAACTTACAGAAACCAAACATATCAAGCTTGTTATATTGTGGCCTTTTGAAAATAAACTATTTGAAGAGTTGCGCAAATTGAAGAGGTAAAACATATAGAGTTTGATCAATCATACATAAACTAGAATCTTCAGAAAAAATTCCGAACACAGTGAATAACCTGTCGAATTATTTAATTTCTCCCTGACAACGAAGTAAAATAATTTATTCCACTTTTCTGACCTTGTATGGGTAATGCATGCAGTATTCAACCGAAAGTCAGTACCTTACTACAATCGTATCTTCACTTCTCTTGGCCTAACAGAGTGTGAAGAAAGTTAGGACAGACCTACATTGTAACTACTACTTGCTACTATTTTCATTTCTTCCATTAATTCTCATAATTACTACATTTACTATGAGTGACTGTAAAAGTTTTTTTTTAAAACGTATGACTTTGGATTTTTTCAGTTTTCTTTTTGAGTCTCCATAGCATGACACACTGATAACTACTCACAAATACATTGCGGTACACATATGTCTCTTGCTCTCAATTACCTGTTATTATGATAAAACATCTATAATATATTTGTTATAAATGTTTACAGATAGCAGTGATATCCCCAATATATGCCATATCTACATATACATTTCGTAATATAGCAGCTATGATTAGAGTTATTTACTACTTATAATTGTTTATTACCACACCGATTCCTGACAATTCAAGTAACGTCCAGTATATTTTTCTTGTATGTATGGGTTATATTTATTAAATTAATGGATTAATTTTTAGACGTAATAACTTTATCATTATCTTAAAATTGATATGTTCTTGGTCCACCACAAGAGCAACACATTCATGGAACTGTCCTTATAGATCAAATAGTATTAATCTGGTCGTTTGCATATTTCGTCGATCAAGTACACTTATATCCAACTTTTTGAGACAAGCCAATGAAGATGAGGCAACTATCATTAGTTCGAAGGAACAGCTGTATGTTTACTTTATCTTTCAAGCCAGTTGGTAGACAAATACTAGTTGAATTGTTTGTTCACTAGAGTTTACAATATATGCTGGGCACAGAATAGTTAAGTCTAGAGATTTAGATGAACAAATAGTATTTTTAAGAGTATGCGCTAACACCCCTCAAATTATCACGGCGCAGTTAGCCATGTTCTGGACATCGTAACGAAAATAACAAAGGAAAACGTGTGAAGAAACGAAAAAACCAATTTGAAGTGATTTACTAGTTAAATAAAATGAAAAACGAGATATTCAAGGAAGAGGATCGACATGAGAATCAGTTGTTTACCACTGAAACTTATTTGGTAATTTGCAGTTTAAATTGTGCTTTCGATATAACTTTCGCTATCGAACATATAGTTAAATTGTAAATGGTTTTTTTGCACTTAATAGCAAGGAGATACAACTGGTTCACGATGTTATATATTATGCGGTATATCTATAAATTAAAAACTCTGTGATGCTACTTGTCATCGTAAGATCAGATACTCCCATCTTTTTGAAATCGGTCAACACAAGTGACACAGGATAGGCATCACCAAAACCACCGAATGGCAAGTAGAGAAACGAATTTTCAAAGTACCTTCAGGTCAACAATGAATATGTGACATCTTGATGTACACGTATTCCTAATTAGAGTGAGTCGTTTCAAGGATAGATTTCAGATAATTGATACAGTGTTGCTGCAATAGTCAAATGTTTTGGTATTATAACACGATTGTGATACTGTATGGTTTTGTGATGTGCATGATACTTTTCATTAGGTAGAAAACGATCTCCGTGGTTCCGCTTGACTGATTACTATATTTATTACTACCATAATACTTAATGTATGATTAAAGGAAAAATATATTGATTGTACAATAAGAGAAGTGTTAAGTGAATTTCAACCAGTTACCCAGTCAAATTAGGCTCGTTAAAATGAACAACTTAGAGCTTACAAGTTGTTTATCGAACATGGATTATTTGTTCAAGCATAAAAATGTCACTGGCATTCAGGTCTCAAAAACGGCTTTGTTTTTAGAACCTTCATAATCGGAAAACAGATAGTCGGGACTGTAGGATATCAATTATATATATTGGGATGGTATTCGATAACTTTAGAATTCCCTGACTTATATCCACTAGATCTTGAGAAGGGTGCGTAGCACAGCGTACCTAATAGTAATCTAGTGCGGATTAATGACTGACCGCTTCCAGCTGTTATATACAGCATAATTTTCAAAAACATACGGAACAACTTATTTCGAGGATTTGTAGTGGCATTGAACAATAACCGCACAATCCACAAAGCTGAACACGAGACTACTCAGAGAATAGATATTCAATATTTAACGCGGATAAATACCTAACGATGGAGAAGGCGCGGAGAATGAATTGAATGGACTGGAGTTGATCGGGTGGCATGGCTCGGCCATACAGGCGTGGTCTCTGCTGAATGTTACCTTATATCTTCTATTCATATTAAATATATTGTTCCTTCTCTAGCCTAACCTTGTTCTTCATCATGTATTGGTAATTGATACGATACAGTGAGTTGGTGTAGTCGATGGTGTGACTTCCACGTAAGATCTTATAGATTAGGCAGTTATATCATGACAAATCTACAAATTTAGGATTAGGTCTATTATTAGAGCAGTACTAATATCTTAGTTCTACATTGTTAATCCTTATTTCCACCTTAACCTTCTCAATCTGATTTTATTTTTATAAACCCACTATTCTAATAGTCCTTTGATTAATGGTCACATATATTATCGTAATGTTATATCTATTAGTTCACATAACTTACTAGCTCAACCGATAATAAAAGTTGATCATCTATATCAACTAATTAGCTTTGAAGGTTCGTCAACAAGCTTTAATAGCATTTACATGCTTCAGCAACATAGACTTCTTTAAACATCAAGCTCTAGCAAATATGACCTGTAAATAGCGTAAGTATACATTGACTAACAATGCAATCAAGGACTAAATAGTTATCTGGATCTAATTCTCAGTGTTCCTTCACCTAACACCTCATCCTGTTTTAAACTATGCACTATCCTCTAATATCTTTTCTTCTGACCACTGCCTGCCTAATTTCATATTTTCGAGTTCCATTGCCAAACAACAAGGATGACATTTCTCCAAAAACATACGGTGAGTTTCATCTATAGGTTTTCTGCAATCATAAGGTCATTTTAGATGGCTCGTTCAATAACAACCACACAATTAACTGAACTAATCCGATTGTTCTAATCCTAGCGAGTGGCAGAAACGTCAACACCATCAAGCACCCTGAAATTAATTGCCATACTGCATGTTTTATTCTGGATACTTTTGGATCATTACTACTCCTTACGAACGGCGTTATATATGTCGTCCACTGAATAATCTAATTTTTAGAAATAATCCAGGCGAGTTCAACTATTTTACTTAGTGATTCTTTTTTACTTAACATGTATATGTTTTCCGGTTCCTTTTGCTATATATTTGTAAGTGTCCCTAGGCTAAATGCAGTAACTTCTTATGGAATGTTTATAACGCATCATATTCCTGCCTGAAGTTTCACAAGCAGTCTAAACTTTAAAATTATTTTCTGGTCATGTTCATTATTTTTAAATCGTCATATACGTCAACAACCTGCATGTTAACCTGGGCCATACATACGTCACACTATATCTCCGTGTCTTCTAAATTTAGAAATCATCTGGATCGCCTTTAACATTTATCAATAAACTCATCATAGTCGTTGTTGCTAATCGTATTTGGGTTTATGAATTGGTTTATCATATTAGCAGCCTAAAATGCGAACATAGTTTAGATAATAAGATTAAAAATTTAGGTACTATCAACTGCACTAGTAAAAGAACTAAATCCCTAGGTAGCTGTTGGCTAAACAAACGTTTAAAATCAAAACTCCGTAGCCTACTAGAATTAACACTAAACGAATATTTCTGAATTGAAATTTCTAATTAAATTAGGCGTCTCGGATTCCTTAACGTTGTAAATTTCTGATGATTTCGAATCACTTAAAGCAACAATACCTATTTTTCCACTGACTAATCCTCAATCAACACTATAACTAGTTAAATTTAATAGTTTCAGGATATCGTCATAAAGCATTGTCATAACTTGACAATCACGTAATATGACTGATAAAATTAATGAAACTATTAACGAAATCGGTCAACAAATTGACTTATAATTACCATTATATGGTGTTGTTTTCTTGGTATCTTCATCCATCACAGATGATTACAGTATGTTTCTCTCTCAGTTGCTCATTCAGTAAATATCTCAAAACCTTGTCAGTCTAATTGATGGTTTAGCGACACAATCATGCATGCAAAAAAATCAGTATAAGCAGTCGAGCAAATCTCCTGCAAACTGAAAACATCAATGTCGAATTTACCCCAACACTGACTAAGGTTCAAGCCATTATCATAGACATGAGTTGGGAGTGTACTCACCTTGGCTACAACTTGTTTCCTCCCTGGCAATCACATGAGCGCCACTCACTGTTAATTATCTTGTAAAAACTTATTTAGCTGAATACATCTTGCAGCATATCACCTAGTAATGTAGTATATAGACTTAACTGATTTCAGTAACTTATAATCACGTTATCTCAATTGAATCGTATTCCGCCTTATGATAAACTGCATACTTGCAACTAACTTGTATGCATCGTCAGCGGTCAGGTATAAATGTGTATAAATAGTCTATGGCAACTCAGAACATTGAGTCTAGAGCATGTCTCTTACGAATACACTCATGTTTAACGATTTGTTTCTAGCTATCTGTCCAAAATTCACATAATTATCACTCACGTATTTAAATATTGTTTTGATAACCATTCATGTGTATTAGAAGTATTACTAAATTCTATCACGGTCAAGTAAAAATGAGGTTGAGAAAATCTCCCCGTAACTAAATAAACCGTATCAAACTAACTGGAACACTAGTTGGAATTCTTCTCCAAGGTATACTTTTGTTCCTTCAGTTAGCCTACTAATACAGATGCAATTGAAATTCAACTCATATGGACAACTTACCGGCATA